CTTGAAGGCGTTTTTCAACCAAATTCTTTGTAATTTGGTATTTTGTAGTCATATATGGTAACGAACCTCCCTCCCAGAAATTATTAATATTTGCCCCCTTTTAGGGGTAGTCCCCATATAACCCCCTTTTTATACCCTTCACCACTCTGTAGTACAGGGTGTTATGTATGTGTGAATATGTTTGTAACAGGCAAAAGGAAACGAGATAGACAAAGGGGTCCTTTTGAGAATATGCATAGAATCACTTTCTAAGTCGATTTATGCATATCCGACCGTCCGTCCGTCCGTCCGTCTGTCCGTACATCCATGTTAAATTGTAAACAAAGTACAGGTCTCATTTTTGACTCGAATTAGATGAAATTTGGCACAAGTCAATTATTTAGCCCAAGGACGAACCCTATTGAAATTGAAGAAAATCGGTTCAGATTTAGATATAGCTCCCATATATATACTTTCGTCCGATTTAAGGTAAATGGTGTACCAAAGTCCATATATATCCTTCGATTTGCACGAAATTTGGCACAGCGTACTGAATTGAGCCTAGAATGATATGTGCCAAGTTTCGTGGAAATCGCTTCAGATTTAGATATAGCTCCCATATATAGATTCGTCCGATTTTAGGTAAATGGTGCACCAAAGTGCCTAATAATCCTTCGATTTGCACGAAATTTGGCACAAAGTACTGAATGAAGCCTAGAATGATGTGTGCCAAGTTTCGTGAAAATCGCTTCAGATTCAGATATAGCTCCCATATATAGTTTCGTCCGATTTTATGTAAATGGTGCACCAAACTCCCTATATAGCACTCGATTTGCATGAAATTTGGCACAGCGTACTAAACTAAGCCTAGAATAATGTGTGCTTAGTTTCGTGAAAATCGAATCAGATTTAGATATAGCTCCCATATATATTTTCGTCCGATTAAGGGTAAATGGTGTACCAAAGTCCCTAAATATCTTTCGATTTGCACGAAATTTGGCACAGCGTACTGAATTGAGTCTAGAATGATGTGTGTTAAATTTCATGAAAATCGGATTAGATTTAGATATAGCTCCCATATAGATTTTCGTCCGATTTAAGGTAATTGGTGCACTAAAGCCCCTATATATCATTCGATTTTCACGAAATTTGGCATAGGGTACTGAATTGGGTGTACAATGAGGTGTGCTAAGTTTCGTGAAAATCGGTGCAGATATAGATATAGCTTCCATATATATTTTCGACCGATTTCAGGTAAATGGTGCTGTATCCACCAAGACACATAAGTCAAGGGAGACCATTAAGAGCAACAAGTTGTATATCCTTCTGTCGTTTTTTTTTTCATCCATTTCCATTGTGTGTACCTTGTGTCCTGTTAAAAGGACATGAAAGCAAACAGCAACAAAAGTTATCACTGACCTCAATGTGTAAATGTCGGAACTATCGCACAGAAGAATATTGTTTGCGGATTTTTTTTTTTTTTTGTTTTCTTAAAACAATATTTACTGAAGTGTTGTTGTTTTTTGTTCACACACAAAGTTCAGCAATTTCCTACTTTGGCTTTACTTCTGTTCCCACAGCATTTTTTTCTGTGTTCTGCATCTGCAGACAATGCCTAGTCAAGGCGGAACCATAATGTAAACATAAATATTGTTACCATATTGCTGTTGTTGTTGTTGGTTTTTTGTCGAAGCTTTTAGCATTTCCTCTGCAGGTTATCCTTCCCCCTTGATTCCTCCAACACCTACTCAGACATCCCTGTGGGTCTGTTCTACTTTATTGGCCACTAATTTAAGCCATGTGATACTTGTTTTGACTTACTTCTCTTATAGTCGTCTATTTTATCTTCTTCTTCTTTTTGGCCATAATGTTATTTGTTTTGGCCATATTGTGGCAATATTTACATAACCTCAATAATATTTACTTTATCGAAAAGTTCGGATTGGATTGTGGGACTGTCTTTGGGGGGAGATTTTTTTATATATTCAAATTGAAAACCAAATTAAGGCTACAAAAATATCTTTTAAAAAATCCACGCCTTGTGGATAGGCTACAAAAATAGCTTTTAAAAAATCCACGCCTTGTGGATAGGCTACAAAAATAGCTTTTAAAAAATCCACGCCTTGTGGATAGGCTACAAAAATAGCTTTTAAAAAATCCACGCCTTGTGGATAGGCTACAAAAATAGCTTTTAAAAAATCCACGCCTTGTGGATAGGCTACAAAAATCGCTTTTTTTCAGTAAGTGCATTCAAGGGGCTATAACTTCGAAAATCTTCATTTCATTTTTATGAAACGATAGATTTGGAAAAAAGATCCTTGTGCTCAAGATTACAAATATATTGATCTGATTGACCAACATTTTGAGATATGGGTCAAAGAACAAAGTTACCGAAATTTTTGAATTTTTGTCATATTTTTCGGTAAGTGCATTCCAGAGGCCATAACTTCGAAAATATTCATTCGATTTTTATGAAACGACCCGATTTGGAAAGAGGAAGATCTAGTACTCAAGATTACATCGAGATATATTGATCTGATTGACCAACATTTTGAGATATGGGTCAAAAAACAAAGTTACCTAAAATTTTGAATTTTTGTCATATTTTCAGTAAGTGTATTCTAGGGGCCATAACATCGAAAATATTCATTCCATTTTTATGAAACGACCCGATTTGGAAAGATGAAGATCTAGTACTCAAGATTATATTGAGCTATTTTGATGTGATTGACCAATATTTTGAAATATGGGTCAAAGAACAAAGTTACCGAAAATTTTGAATTTTTATCATATTTTCGGTAAGTGTATTCTAGGGGCCATAACTTCGGATATATTCATTCGATTTTTATAAAATTACGCTCTTTGGGAAGAGGAAGATCTGATGCTCAATATTATGCTAAGTTATCTTGATGCAATTGGTAAAATATTGGAGTTATCGGTCAAAAAACAAAGTTACCAAAAATTTTGAATTTTTGTCATATTTTCAGTATGTGTATTCTAGGGGCCATAACTTCGGATATATTCATTCGATTTTTATAAAATTACCCTATTTTGGGAAGAGGAAGATCTGATGTTCAATATTATACTAAATTACTTTGATGCAATTGGTAAAATATTGGAGTTATCGGTCAAATAACAAAGTTACCGAAAATTTTGAATTTTTGTCATATTTTCAGAAAGTGTATTCCAGAGGCCATAACTTCGAAAATATTCATTCGATTTTTATAAAATTACCCTATTTTGGGAAGAGGAATTTCTGTGCTCAATATTATACTAAATTACTTTGATGCAATTGGTAAAATATTGGAGTTATCGGTCAAAAAACAAAGTTACCGAAAATTTTGAATTTTTGTCATATTTTCGGTAAGTGTATTCTAGGGGCCACAACTTCGAAAATATTTATTGGATTTTTATAAAGTTACCCTATTTTGAGAAGAGGAAGATCTGATGCTAAATATTATACTAAGTTATTTGGATGCAATTGGTAAAATATTGTTGTTATCGATCAAAAAACAAAGTTACCTAAAATGTTGAAATTTTGTCATATTTTCAGTAAGTGCATTCCAGAGGCCATAACTTCGAATATATTCATTCGATTTTTATAAAAATGCCCTATTTTGGAAAGAAGAAGATCTGATTCTCAATATTATACTAAGTTATTTTGATGCAATTGGTAAAATATTGGAGTTATCGGTCAAAAAACAAAGTTACCGAAAATTTTGAATTTTGATCATATTTTCAGTAAGTGTATTCTACGGGCCATAACTTCGAAAATATTCATTCTATTTTTATAAAATTACCCTATTTTGGGAAGAGGAAGATCTGATGCTCAATATTATACTAAGTTATTTTGATGCAATTGGTAAAATATTGGAGTTATCGGTCAAAAAACAAAGTTACCGAAATTTTTGAAATTTTGTCATATTTTCAGTAAGTGTATTCTAGGGGCCATAACTTCGAAAATATTCATTCGATTTTTATAAAATTGCCCTATTTTGGGAAGAGGAAGATCTGATGTTCAATATTATGCTAAGTTATCTTGATGCAATTGGTAAAATATTGTTGCTATCGATCAAAAAACAAAGTTACCTAAAATTTTGAAATTTTGTCATATTTTCGGTAAGTGCATTCCAGAGGCCATAACTTCGGATATATTCATTGGATTTTTAGGAAATTACCAGATTTTGAAAGAGAAAGATCTGATGCTCTGAGATATCGGTCACAAAAAAAATCCACACCTTGTTTTAGTCTACAAAAATTATTTTTTATTTAAGGTCCCTTCATATTTTAAAGCAACGTGTCCTGTTGCGTATAACTACCGACATACCTCATACGCCTCAATGGCCATCTTAACATTTTCTTCTTTGTGTTGACTTAGAAAACTGCCCCTAACTCACCCTTAGCCTAACATTAATCTTCAAACTAATTAATAATACATCAAAAAGAAAACGAATTCTCCTTTAAGAATATTAAATGTGATTTTTTATATCCTTCGTCCAATTAAGGACGAATTAAAGTGTCTTAACTCCAATAAAAACAATAACACACAGATAACATTAAAACTTGAGAACTCACGAGGAAAACTTTTTAAACAATTTACGAGGTTATTCAGTTGCCACTGAAAATCTGAACCCTGCAACAAATTATTAACTCAATCATTGTGGACAGCTGTTCCTTGGAAAGGCTTTTCTTCCTGTAATATGACCTCCTCCATCCTTCAAAGGGGCACGAACCATCACTTGACACTTTCAATCTTCGTTTTTAAAGAAAGTGTAGGCTTTTATTTCAATTTCATTTCGTTTTGCATTATGGCTTGTGTAAAGGCTGTGTCCCAGTTATATCCTGGCCATTTCAGAGGTCCTGTGACGCCTTGTGCGCTTTTAAAAAAGTGTCATTAAGTTTTATTATTAAGCGGAGGAGGAGAAATGGAATCATATTTTATTTGCATTGCCTTTCTTTGTCAAGCTTTTAGTTGGTTAATAATAATTTTCTCCCCTCTCTCTTTTCCCTTTTCATTACAGCGGAGGACATTCACTTGGATGACCTGTATACACGCTATCGTCAACGATTGCGTAAGTCATTATTTCGTTCCGGCCTGTGGATATCGCTGGTGGCATGTGTGGTCTCAATTATAATTGGTGTGATATACCAACAGGTAAGTAATTGGATAGAAATAATTTTTAAAAATACCCTGCTTCCCTAGGCCTGAATGTAGGCTACAAAAATTATTTTTAAAAAATCCCCACCTAAAAGTAGACCCTTAAAAATAATTAAAAAATCCCCATCTAAAAGTAGACCCTTAAAAATAATAAAAAAAAATCCCCACCTAAAAGGCTATAAAAATAATCCCTTGTGGATAGGCTATAAAAAAATCCACGCCTTGTGGATAGGCTATAAAAATAATCCACGCCTAGTGGATAGGCTATAAAAATAATTTTTACAAAATCCACGCCTTGTGGATAGGCTATAAAAACAATCTCTAAAAAATCCACGCCAAAAATAATTTTTGAAAAATCCACGCCAAAAATAATTTTTAAAAAATCCACGCCTTAGGGTATGCCCCAAAAATAATTTTTAAAAATCCACGCCTTAGGGTATGCCCCAAAAATAATTTTTAAAAAATCCACGCCTTAGGGTATGCCCCAAAAATAATTTTTAAAAAATCCACGCCTTAGGGTATGCCCCAAAAATAAATTTTAAAAAATCCACGCCTTAGGGTATGGCCCCAAAAATAATTTTTAAAAAATCCACGCCTTAGGGTATGCCCCAAAAATAATTTTTAAAAAATCCACGCCTTAGGGTATGCCCCAAAAATAATTTTTAAAAAATCCACACCTTAGGGTATGCCCCAAAAATAATTTTTAAAAAATCCACGCCTTAGGGTATGCCCCAAAAATAATTTTTAAAAAATCCACGCCTTAGGGTATGCCCCAAAAATAATTTTTAAAAAATCCACGCCTTAGGGTATGCCCCAAAAATAATTTTTAAAAAATCCACGCCTTAGGGTATGCCCCAAAAATAATTTTTAAAAAATCCACGCCTTAGGGTATGCCCCAAAAATAATTTTTAAAAAATCCACGGCTATAAAAATAATCTTTAAAAAATCCACGCCTTGTGGATAGGCTATAAAAATAATCTTTAAAAAATCCACGCCTTGTGGATAGGCTATAAAAATAATCTTTAAAAAATCCACGCCTTGTGGATAGGCTATAAAAATAATCTTTAAAAAATCCACGCCTTGTGGATAGGCTATAAAAATAATCTTGTGGATAGGCTATAAAAATAATCCACGCCTTGTGGATAGGCTATAAAAATAATCCACGCCTTGTGGATAGGCTATAAAAATAATCCACGCCTTGTGGATAGGCTATAAAAATAATTTTTAAAAAATCCACGCCTTAGGGTATGCCCCAAAAATAATTTTTAAAAAATCCACGCCTTAGGGTATGCCCCAAAAATAATTTTTAAAAAATCCACGCCTTGTGGATAGGCTATAATTTTTATAGCATATCTTTAATAAACCCACACCTTGTGGATAGGCTATAAATCCCCACCTAAAAGTAGACCCTTAAAAATATCGATTATAATCCTTATTTCTTTTTTTCCTTTCAGGAACTTTTCCACACATTGCTGCTGGCCTCAGCCGCCTTGATATCGGCCAGCATATTGACTGCCCTACAATTCCCTGCGGTTTTGAGTTCACCCGCTGCGGCATTGGCTTTTGCCATTGTGACCACATTCTCACTGGGAACGATAGCAGCAATTACGGGTGAAGAATTGGCGCCATTACCATTATTTGCTGTATTTCTGGTAAGTGTAAACGGGATGGTTGGATGGATGGGTGAGAGGTCTGTGGTGAATGTAGCAGTTAGATAGCTGTAATTAATAGGGAGGGGACAAATTGTCTTTTTGTGTGTGCTATTTGAGTTTGTGTAATTTTAAATGAGACGGGACAGATGTGTATGAGCTCGACTAACAGGAAGGGCGATACTGGAACTATTCATTAAAGTATCGGGTATTGGTGGTAATCGAGTAGTTTGTAAAAAGAGGCTTACACCCCCTCTCCAGATGAAATTAATCTTCGAAGTATCCTTGACTTTCTAATAAGCAACTTCTCACCATCAATACCAAATAGAAATGGCAGGAGATAACGCCACCTAGAGGCAAATGACAACATTAAATAGATAAGCAAAGACCTCAACCACTGCACAAAATTCAAGGAGGCATAGTTTCTAGGCAACGATAGGAGGCAGGCAGCCCAGAAATAAAAAGGATCACAACTTTGAAAATATTTATTTGATTTTTATGAAATGCTCCGATTTTGAAAGAGAAAGATCTAAGATTCAAGATTATATCGAGTTATATAGATGTGTCACACCAAAAATCTGGGATATCGGTCAAAAAACAAAGTTACCTAAAATTTTGAATTTTGACATATTTTCAGTACTTGTTGCTAAATTTTTTGGTCATAACTTGAAAAGTAACCAAAAGATTTTTATGAAACTAACTAATTTGGAAAGAGGAAGATCTAGTACTTATAAGTATATCGAGTTATATTGATGTAATTTACCAAAAATTTGAGATATCTGCCAAAAAACAAAGTTACCTACAATTTGCAAATTTTGTGGTATTTTCGGTAGTCTTATTTGTTTGGTCATAACTTAGAAAGTAATTATTGGATTTTTATAAAATGAACCGATTTGATAAGAGGAGGGTGTAATAATCAAGATTATATCGAGATATATCGATGAGTTGGCAAAAAAATCGAAGTTATAGGTAAAAAAGCTAAGTGAACTAAAATTACGAAATTACGAAATATTTTCGATAAGTGCATTCTAGGGCCCATAACTTCGAAAATATTCATTCGATTTTTATAAAGTGACCCGATTTTGAAAGAGGAAGACCTACTACTCAATATTTCTTCAAATTATATTGTTGTCGCTTGCAAAAAATCTTAGATATGTTTCGAATAACAAAGTTACCGAAATTTTGTCATATTTTCGGTAAGTGTATAACTTCGAATATATGCATTCGATTTTTATGGAATGGCTCGTTTTTGAAAGAGGAAGATCTGGTTATCTATATCATATTAAAGTATTTTGATGTGATTGGTCAAAAATCTGAGATATCGGTCAAAAAACTAATTTACCGACATTTTTGAATTTTCCTCATATCCTTTGTAATCGCAATTTTGGGGCCATAACTTTGGAAATATTTATTGGATATGTATGAAATGACCCGATTTGGAAATAGAAAGATCAGAGGTTCAATATTTTACTAAGTTATTTTGAGACAATTGGTCAAAAATCGGAGTTTTAAATTAATAAATAAACTAACCTAAAAATTTGAGTATTTGTCATATTTTCGGTAATCTCAATTTAGGGGCCATAACTTTGGAAATATTTATTGGATATGTATGAAATGACCCGATTGGCAAAGAGGAAGACCTGACGTTCAATATTACACTAAGTTCTCTTGAAGCGATTAGTCAAAAATCAAAGTTATGGGCCAAAAAACAAAGTTACCTAAAATTTTGAAGTTTTGCCCTATTTTCGGTAATTGCATCCTATGGGCCATAACATCGAAAGTATTCATTCGATTTTTATGAAATGTTGCAATTTTGAAAGAGGAAGATCTGATGCTCTATATTATTCTGATTTCTTTTAATGCTATTGGTCAAAAATCGGAGTTATCGGTCAAAAAGCAAAGTTACCGAAATTTATGAGTTTTTGTCATATTTTTGGTACAGACATTCTAGGGGCCATAACTTTGAAAATATTTGTTGGATGTTTATAAATTCACCCAATTTGAATGGAGGAAGATCTGATGTTCAATATTACACTAAGTTCTTTTGATGTGATTGGTCAAAAATTGGAGTTATGGGCCAATAAACAAAGTTACCTTAAATCTTGAAATTTGGCCTATTTTCGGTACATGCATTCTAGGGGCCATAACATCGAAACTATTCATTCGATTTTTATGAAGTGGCCCGATTTGGAAAGAGAAGGTTCTAGTACTCAAGAAAATATCACGTTATATCGATGTGATTGACCAAAAATCTGATATATCGGTAAAAAAAACAAATTTACTACAATTTTTGAATTTTTGTCATGTTTTCGGTAATCTCACTTTAGAGGCCATAACTTTGGAAATATTTATTGGATAATTGTGAAATGACCCGATTTGGAAAGAGGATGATCTAATGCTTAATATTGTACTAAGTTCTTTTGATGATATTTGTCAAAAATCGGAATTATCGATCTAGAAACAAAGTTAAGGCTATTTTTGAATATTTGTAATATTTTCGGTAATTGCATTTTAGGGGCCATAACTTTGGAACTATTTATTAGATATTTATGAAATGACCCGATTTGGAAAGAGGAAGACCTGATGCTCAATATTATACTAAGTTCTTTTGATGTGATAGATCAAAAATCGGAGTTATGGATCAAAATATAAAGTAACCTAAAATTTTGAAATTTTTGTCATATTTTCGGTAGTTGCTTTCTAGGGGCCATAACTTCAAAAGTATTCTTTCGATTTTTATGAAATTACCCAATTTGGAAAGAGGAAGATCTGAGAAAAAAATAACTCCCCAAAGTCCCATAACATCAAACGACCCAATCATTATTTTTTACAGCAACAAACATTATCTGCCATACAATTTCCATATTAATTATGTTTCTGATTTTTTTTTTTCTCTCTCTCCCTCTTTTTATCTCTAGGGTATCCACACAATGCTGCCAATATCGTGGCCGGTGTCGGTGGTCTTGGCCCTATTTATGACAGCCATACACGTTGTATATCGTCTGTGCATAGCACCGGACTATTCGCCTAATTTGCCAGTGGTAAGTAGTGACACTCGTGACAAAATAAAGGATTAAAGGGGGTGGTGGAGGTTTTCCCTCTCCCGCAAAAAATCACACATGGATGCCAATGAATAACAACATTGTCTGCAATGATTTTTTTTTTTTTTGTAAATGAAATGAAATTTTAATTGGACTTTTCGACAAAGGAGTGAAGGGTCACCTAGAGTGAGGAGGTGGTGGTGGAGGCTCACCCTGCTTAGCTTTGTAAGCTAATTTTTGAAAAATCGCCCACATGGTTGGAAATTCTTTTTTTAATTTTTTGTGTGCGGATTTCAACACAAAGATAGGCAAGGGTATTAGTTTTTTCAAATGAATTTCAATTGAAAAGGGAAGGCAGAGTCCTTTCCTCTCTCAAACATTCTCTCCCTCTCTCTCGGTCTATTATTTTGTGGTTAAAAGTGGGGTTTTTGTGTTCGGAAAAAAACTGAAAAGTCATTAAAAATCATAAATTTTTTATTCAGCAACAACAACAAGTGGTGGCCATTGAAAAATAACAACAACAAGGAAATGTTTTTGTTGTTTTGAAAGGATACATATGTTGTATACGTGGCCATGATGACCACCCCGAACAAACATGACACATACTGAAGCACACATCCAATCACACTTAGGATCCCATTCATGTCCTTGATGCCATTTAACATCTTTCATTAGTAAATAACCGAATACAGAGACATGGCTAAATGACTGACTACTGACTGACAGTCAGTCAGTCAAGTGGTCTGTTGGTTAGCTACCTATTTTGTAATTGAAGTGTCCCCCAACCAGGTTGGGTTTTGTGGCCCAGTTGCAAGTTCGCCATGCAACTAAATTTCTAACTGCAAAATTTATGTTCGAATTTAAAATCGTGTGAGTATGTGTGTGTGTGTCTGAGTGTGTGGGAATTTTATTTTAGCCCCCAAAGAGAGAGGAAGTAAGTGAGAGAGAGAGGTAGAGTGACGGAGAAAGGGTGCTATGCGATAAAATGCCACACACATATCTAAGTGATTGTGTGGAATTTATGTGACTATTTTGAAATGAAAACACAGAAAAGTATTTAAAGGCCAAGGTATTAGAAAGAAACAAAAAAATAAAAAATACTGAAATCAAAGTACCTGAATATCAATGTGAAGGTAAAGTGGAGGATAGACCTTTGTTTATGTTTTTAAAGGAAAAAAATTCGGAAGGAAATGTGACTGAACTTGAAAAGTCTAGGTGAGGTTATTGAAGGCTTATTACTAGGCAATAGAATAACTATTTTTCCTGAAATCGGACGAAAACATATATGTGATATCGAAATCTGAACCGATTTTCACGAAGCTTAGCACACATTGTTCTCGACTCAATTCAGTACGTTATGACAAATTTCGTGCAAATCGAAAGATACATAGGGACTTTATTGCCCCATTTACCTAAAATCGGATGAAAATATATATGGGATCTATATCGAAATCTGAACCGATTTTCCCGAAACTTAGCACACATCATTCTGGAACTAATTCAGTACCCTACACCAAATTTCGTGCCAATCGAAGGATATATATGGACTTTGGTATACCATTTACCTAAAATCGGATGCAAATATATATGGGAGCTATATCGAAATCTGAACCGATTTTCACGAAACTTAGCACACATCATTCGAGACTCAATTCAGTAGGCTACACCAAATTTCGTGCAAATCGAAAGATATATAGGGACTTTAGTGAACTATTTACCTAAAATCGGACGAAAATATATATGGGAGCTATATCGAAATCTGAACCGATTTTCCTGAAACTTACCACTTATCATCCTAGACTCAATTCAGTACGCGGTGCCAAATTTCGTGCAAATCGAAAGATATATAGGGACTTTGGTGTACTATTTACCTAAAATCGGACGAAAATATATATGGACGCCATATCGAAATCTTCACCGATTTTCACGAAACTTAGCACACATCATTCTAGACTCAATTCAGTAGGCTACACCAAATTTCGTGCAAATCGAAAGATATATAGAGACTTTAGTGCATCATTTACCTAAAATCGGACGAAAATATATATGGGAGCTATATCGAAATCTGAACCGATTTTCATGAAATTTAACACACATCATTCTAGACTTAATTCAGTAAGCTATGCCAAATTTCGTACAAATCGAAGGATATATAGAGACTTTAGTGCACAATTTACTTAATATCGGGCGAAACTATATATGGGAGCTATAACTAAATCTGAACCGATTTTCAGCTAACCTATAAAGATTCCTTGACCCTCAGCTCTATAAAAATAATTGGGCCTTTAGCTGGTCTATAAAAATTTTCCTGGCCCTCAGCTGGTCTAGTAATAAGTCGTGGCCTTCATTGGGTCCATATGACTCCCTGGGCATTTACTTGTCTTTAAAGACTCTCTTGCCTTCAGGTCATATAGAATCACTGAACCTTCTTTTGGCTCATCTATATTAGACGCACTGATCTTTTAAGACTCCCTGTCCTTCAGATACTTTATAAAGACTTTTTGCCCTTAATTTGGTTCTGTTCTTCAGACTCAGACATTTCTCCTATAAATACTCGCTTTTAAATCTCCTAATAAAACCCATTGACTCTACAGTTGATCTTTAAAGACTGCCTATTTTTTGCTGACCTGCAAGTACACTCTGACATCATAAAGGTACTACCGGATCTTCAGTTCATCTATAAAGCCTCACTGACCTTCAGATCGTCTATAAAGACATATTGGTCTCTCATGTGGTCTACCAAGACAACCTGGCATTCAGTTCATCTAGTGGAAAATCACTGGCTCCTCAGCTCGCTTATGATAGGTACACTGTCCCGTCCGTTCGTATACTAGTCCTACGGTTTATTAATGATACTTACTGGTCCTTTAAATACCCTTTGACCTTCAGCTGATCTCTAATGGCTCTCTTTCCTTCAGCTCTTCTATAATGGACGCACTGGCTCCTCAACAGGTCTATAAAGGCAGCGTTTTCTTCGCCTGGTCTTACTGGCCCTTTAAAGACCCTCTGTCCTTTAGCTGATCCTTATGGACTCACTGGCCTTCATTGGTTGGCCCTTCTCTTTCCACTGGTCTACAAGACAGAATTTCATGTAGACTATAAAGACTATTGGTCATCAGATCTACAAAGACCCACAGAACCATTCGGTTAACCTGCAAAGACACCCCTAGCATTCACTTTCATCTACGGGAAAATCACTGGCTCCTCAGCTCGTTTATGATGGAACCACCAGACCTTCAGCTTAATATACCCATTGGTATATTAGTTTAGCTCAGTTTAGCTCGTCTTTGATAGACCCATTTGTTCTTCGGTTCATCTATAATAGACTCAGAGACCGCTTAAATACCCTTTGTCCTTCAGCTGGTCTATAAAATCTCCATTGGATTTATTTGTCAATGTAAGACTCCCTTGTTCTTCATTGGTTGGTCTATTTCGCTTCCCGGTACTTCGGCTGGCCTTCAGATTCAGTAGGCATACAGATCGCCTATAAATACTCCCTGAACTTCAGAACGTCTACAAAGACTCTCGCCCATCTATTAAGACTCACAGACCTTCAGCGGGTTCTTAAAGAAATCCTGGCATTCAGTTCGTCCACGAGAGAATCACTGGTCCTGAGTTCGTTTATGATACACCCAATAGGCCTTCAGCTGGTTTATAAAATCTCTCCTGTCTTCAGCTTGTCTTTGATATACCCATTGGTCCATCAATGTATGATAGACTCAGTGGCCCTTCAGTTGTTCTAAAAACCTTCAGGCTCGCCTATAATTAACTCACTGGGTATGCAGGTCACCTATAAATATTATCGGAACTTCAGATCGTCTACAAAGACTCTTGGTCATCTATTCAGACTTCCAGACCTTCAGCTGGTCCTTAAAGAAATCCTGGCATTCAGTTCGTCAACCGGAGGATCACTGGCCCCACAATTCACTTATGCTAGACACACTATCCCTCCAGCTCGTCTATAAAGACTCCTTGGCCCTTAGCTTGAATGTGATATACCCACGGGTCCTTCGGTCCTTGCCTTCACCTATTCTATGATAGGCTCACTGGTCATTCAGGTCGCCTATAAATACTACCGGAACTTCGGCTAGTCTATAAAGACTACCGGCCTTCAGATCGACTCCGTAGCCTCTAGCTGGTTCTTTAGGACGCCATGGTCTTCAGCTAGTCTCTAAGGTCTCCTTGGCCTTCAGATCCTCCGTAAAAACTCCTTGGCACTACAAATGGTCTACAACAAACTCCCTGGGCCAGGGTGACACCATAGGTCTATAACACCCTCGGTGCTTCAGCTGGTCTATACAGACTCCCTGGCCTTCAGCTCGTCTTCTATGGTCGATTCACTGACACATCATTTCACTCCCTACCTTTCTTCCTACTTTACGGGTGACCTATTAAGTCTCCCTGGCCTTCAGCTCATCTCTAAAAATGTCCTGGCTGAAGCCGGTCTTGAAATTCTACCTTGAATTCCTCGGTCTTCCTATGATTTTCTTTGGTTGTCTCACAGCCACTTCAGTTTTTCTATAGAGGCTCCCTGTTCTTCGGCGGGCCTATAAAAACTCCCTGGCCTGTAGCTCAACTTTAAACACCAGCTGGTCCTTGAGTTGAGATCTTCTATGTTTGGCTCACTGACCCTTCAGTTGGTCTATAGAGGCTACCTGTTCTTCGGCTGGCCAATAAAAACTCCTTGGCCTTTAGTTAGACTTTAAAGGCCCAAAAAAACTCCATGGCCCTGCAACTTGTTCTTGAGTTCAGTTCCCTTATGGTAGGCTAACTGACCCTGGTGTATAAAGGCTGCCCGATCTTCAACGATTCTATACAGACTCCCTGGCCTTTAGTTCGACTTTAAAGACCCAAAATAACTTCTTGAGCCCTGAGGTAGTCTATAGAAAACTCATTAACCCTCAGCTCCTCTATAAAAACTCCTCGGCTGTTTTGATGGTCCTTGAGTTCAGTTCACCTATGGTTGGCTCAAGGACACTTCCGTTGGTCCATAGAGGCTATCTGTTCTTCGGCTGGCCTATAAAGACTCCCTAGCCTTTAACTCAAATCTAAAGGCCCAAATAAACTCCTTGGACCTGCAGCCAGTCCTCGAGTTCAGTTCACATATGGTTGCCTCAAGGACATTGTAGTTGGTGTAGAAAGGCTCCCTAGTATTCGGCTGACCTACAAAGACTCCCTGGCCTTTAGCTTGACTTTAAAGCCTATAAAAACTCCTTGGCCCTGCAGCTGATCCTTGAGTTCAGATCTTCTGTGGTAGGCTCACTGACCCTTCAGCTGGTGTATAAAGGCTGTCTGATCTTCAACGGTTCTATAAAGACGCCCAGTCTTTTAGTTTGACTTTAAAGACCTTGACCCTGTAGCTGGCATATAGGAAACTCATTGGCTCTGAACTCCTCTAAAGAAACTCCTCGACTCTTCTGCTGGTCCTTGAGTTGAGATCATCTATGGTAGGCTCACTGACCCTTCATTTGGCTCCCCACTTTTCAGCTGGCCTATGAACCCTTCCTGGCCTTTAGTTCGACTTTAAAGACCCCATATAACCCCTTGACACTTCAGTTCCCCTATAGAAAATTCCCTGGGCCTCAGTAGGTCCTCTAAGACCCCATAATTTTTAAATTTATTTAAACAAACACCAATTTAATCCCCTATTATCCGCCATTCTTAAACCCCACTTTTAAATTTAAATTTTCACCCGAATATAATTGATTATTGTTGTTGTTGTAATTTTTTATACAACAACAACCAAATCCCACAAAATTCCCACTTAACCAAAAATATGCCACTAATGCATTGTTGTTTTTTTTTTCGGTTCCAGCTATTCGGCGAAATTGTCATGCTGGCCAGTGCATCCGTTTCCGGTCTCTATTATCGCATCATGTCCGATGCAGCGCACACCCGAACTGTGGATGGCACCCGAACGGGCATTGAACAACGCGTCAAACTCGAATGTGAACGTCAGCAGCAGGAACAGCTGCTGCTGAGCGTAATACCAGCTTATATTGCTGCGGAGGTTAGTTAGGGGGGTTCGAAACAACAACAACAACTGTTGTTGTGGTTGTTGCTAATTGAAAACAAATTATTTATCGATTTTATTTATGGAATTATTTTCCTTGTCGGAATTTTTGTTGTTGCAGGTCAAACGCAGCATCATGCTGAAAATGGCCGATGCCTGCCAACGTGCCGGTGGTCAAAGCAACTCCTCGGCCACCCGCTTCCATGAGCTGCATGTCCAACGCCATAACAACGTTTCGATTTTGTATGCGGATATTGTCAATTTTACACCGCTGTCGGAACAGCTGACGGCCAGTGATTTAGTGAAGACGTTGAACGATTTGTTCGGGAGATTTGATCAGATTGCACAGGTGAGTAGTCAACCGATCTCTTTAAAGGGTAATAATATTATCGATAACAATTTATAGAAAAAAAATTATTATCGATTACATTTTCCAATGAAAATGTTATTATCGATGACCTTTTATATGGAAAATATTGTTATCGAAATGTGGTTATCGATTGAAATTTTCATAGAAAATTTTGTTATCGATAATTAAAAAGTTGTTATCGATAAAAAAAAATCAGTTATCATAACATTTTTGTGTAGGAAATGTTATAATCGATGGCATTTTATACAGAAAATGTTGTTATCGATTACATTTCAGATAGAGAATTTTGCTATCGATTTCAAATTATATAGAAAATATTGTTATCGATGACATTTCCTACAGAAAATATTGTTATCGATGACATTTCCTATAAGAAATGTTCTTATCGATGACATGTTCTATAGAAAATGTTGTTAACGATTGCATTTTATATAGAAAATTTTGTTATCGATAACATTTTCTTTAGACAATGCTGTTATCGATGACACTTCCTATGGAAAATGTTTTTATCGATGACATATTTTCTATAGAAAATGTTGTTATCGATGACATTTTCTATAGAAAATGTTGTTATCGATAATATTTTATATAGAAAATGTTGTTACCGATGACATTTTTATCAAAAATGTTGTTTATCGATAACATTTTATATAGACAATTTTGTTATCGATAAGATTTTATATGTACAATTTTGTTATCGATTACATTTTACACCGAAAATGTGGTTATCGATGACATTTTCTATAGAAAATTTTGTTATCGGTCAAAGTTTCTATGTTTTTATCGATGACATGTTGTATAGAAAATGTGGCTATCGATGACATGTTGTATAGAAAATGTTGTTATCGATGATATTTTCTAAACAAAAAGTTGTTATCGATGACATTTTATGTAGAAAATTGTGTTATCGATAAAAGTTTCTGTGTAAAATTTTGTTATCGATAACATTTTCTGCAGAAAATTTAGTTATCCTTTAGTTTAGTTGTTATCGATGACATTATGTATAGAAAATGTTGTTATCGATATCAATTTCCATAATAAATGTTGTTATCGATGACATTTTCTACAGAAAATTTTGTTATCGAAGACATTTTCTATGTTATCGATTCTCTTGTTGATAGAAAATATTGTTATCGATTACATTTTTCGTTCGAAATACTTAAATCGAAGACAATTCATATAGAAATTTGTGTTATCGATATAGGAAATGTTGTTATCTATATTAATTACTATAGAAAATATTGTTATCGATGAAATTTTTTTATCGATAATATTTTCTATAGAAAATATTGTTATCGATCGTATTTTCTTTATAAAATGTTGTTATCGATAATAATTTCTATGAACAAATGTTGATATCGATTAAAATTTTTACAAACAATTTTGTTATCGATAATATTTTCTATTGAAAATTGTGTTATTGATCACAGTTTTAAGAGAAAACATTGTTATCGATAACAGTTTTCCTGAAAATTTTGTTATCGAGCACATTTCCTATAGCAATTGTTGTTATCGATAACAATTTCAATGTAGAATGTTGTTATCGATAAAAATTTTAACATAAAATGTTGTTATCGATTAAAATTTTTATGGAAAATGTTATTATCGATAACATCTTCTATAGAAAATTCTGTTATCGATAAAAGTTTTCACTGAAAAATTTGTTATCGGTTACATTTCCTATGAAAAATTATATTATCGATAACAATTTATAACGAAAATGTTATTATCGATTACAATTTTTATAGAAAATGCTGTTATCGATAACAAATTTTTTAAAAAATGTTGTTATCGATAACAATTCACATAAAAATTCTTGTTATCGATTAGTTTTTCTTTAAAAAATATAGTTATCGATAACATTTTCTATAGAAAATAATGTTATCGAAATATTTTCCGACCTATTTTTATTAACATTTTTCTTTTCCCCTTCCCTCCCCCTCTCCGCAACAGGAAAATCAATGTCTCCGCATTAAAATTTTGGGCGATTGTTACTATTGCGTCTCCGGCCTGCCCGTCTCGATACGGCAGCATGCCTCCAATTGTGTCAATATGGGTCTACAGATGATTGATGCCATCAGGTATGTACGAATAGCTAACAATCTACACATGTACACAATAACACACACACACATATGTAAAATATTTCCCACACACACACACGCACACACACAAATGTAAATATTTACACTTCAAATATTTATGTAGATGACACCACCACCGAACATCGAATCGAACGACGAGATGTACTTTGTAAATGTAAACAAATTGTTATTGAATTCTTCTTCTGCTTCTTCTTGATCTTCTAATATAAACAAATCAACAGGAAAACCATATAGACACACACATAGATATGCACACACACATACTTCGATGCTCTCCAATCAAGTAGGCCGACATAATAAAAATCCAGCAGTGTGGAAACTCTGTGGTTTGTGGGACAAACAAACCGACACCCACGAACAGTTAGGAGGTTGATTAAAGTCAGTGAACAACAACAACAACATCGGCCACAAGTGATTACAACAACAAGTGTCGACAACAACAACAATACTATCAGGACATGACAAAAACACTTGTTTTTAATATTTACCAGGTGTTAGACAACAAAACAGAACATGAACAGGGCAGAGCAGGGCTATGGACAACGGGGAGGGATAGAGAGTGAGAGAGACACACACAGAGAGACACATAAAAACCAAAGACACACACACACCCACACAGACTCACCCCACACACATAGAATTTGATTAGGAAACTGATACGACCCAAAGGATGCGACAAATCCTGCCGTAATCTGTTCTGTTTTGTTGGAAATTTATTTGAAATTTTAGAAAACAAATTTACTGGGACCTACCTCTCTCCCTCCCTCACCCTGTCCCCTCGTCAATTCAGGGCATAAATATTCAACAAATTGTTTAATCTTTTTGAAAACTCGATGAATTATCAAGTTCGGTTAAATCCCTTTCGAATCTCATCACCATCATCATCTGATATTCTGATTTCCAATAAGAACACAAATTTATTCAACTGGAAATTATCGCCTGGGGAGGCCTATATATGGGTTTGTGTGCGGGACTTAAGTAATTGTTTTGTTTAGGTTACGATTGACCTTTTTGGAAAAATGGAGAAGGGAAAGGATGAAAATAAGTTGCAGGATTTGATTTGATTTCGATAATGACCACATGGGGATGTTGACAACAACAAATTGATGAAAGGATTGGACAAAATTAAAAATTTGGGAAAATTGGGAGGAAAAAAATTGTTGTTATCGGAATGATTTTAGAAGGTGGTGTTATCGATAATATTTTCTATAGAAAAACATTTTATTGGACATATTTTCATTAGAAAATATTGTCATCGGACATATTTTCAATAGAAAATTTTATTATCGAAAATATTTTCGATCGATAACATTGTTATCGAAAAGATTTTTTTGCCTAAAATGTTGTTATCGACAGAATTTTGCATAGAATATTTTGTTATTGAACACATTTTCCATAGAAAATTGTGTTATCGATGACATTTGCTAATGAATATGTTGTTATCGATAACATTTTATACATAAAGAAAATTTAGTTATCGATATATATTTTCGATGACATTTTGGATCGATAACATTGTTATCGAAAATATTTTTTCACCAAATTTTTTTATCGATCCCATTTTCTATAGAAAATATTGATATCGATCACTTTTTCTACAGAATATGTTGCTATCGATGACATTTTCGATCGATAACTTTGTTATCGAAAAATGTGTCTCCATAAAATGTTATTATCGATGATATTTTGCATAGAAAAGATGATTATCCATTACATTTTCCATAGAAAATCGTATTATCGATAACATTTAATAAGAAAAATGTTGTTATCGGTAAGATTTTTGAACGATAACGTTGTTATCGATCTCATTTTCTATAGGTAAATATTGTTATCGATCGCATTTTCTGCAGAAAATGTTGCTATCGAGGACATTTTCGATCTATAACATTGTTATCGATAACATTTTCTAACGATAGCGTTGTTATCGATCTCATTTTCTATAGAAAATGTTGTTATCGGTCATATTTTCTACAGAAAATTTTATTATCGAAAATATTTTCCATCGATAACATTGTTATCGAAAACATTTATTCTATCAAATGTTGTTATCGAATATATTTTGCATAGAAAATTTTGTTATCGATCACATTTTTCATAGAAAATCGTATTATCGATAACATTTAATAAGGAAAATGCTGTTATCGATAACATTTTCAAACGTTAACGTTATTAGCGATAACATTTTCTATTTTTCATAGAAAATCGTATTATCGATAACATTTAATAAGGAAAATTCTGTTATCGACAACATTTTCAAACGTTAACGTTATTATCGATATCATTTTCTATAGAAAATATTGTTATCGATCACCTTTTCTACAGAATATGTTGCTATCGATGACATTTTCGATCGAAACATTTTATTATCGAAAATATGTTCTATTGAAAATTATGTTATCGATGAAGTTATCTATAGAAAATTATGTTATCGATAACATTTTATCAATAAAATATTGTTATCGAAAGAGAAAAAATAGTTATCGATCACATTTTCTATGGAAAATTTTGTTATCCATAGCATTTTCTATATAAAATCTTGTTATCGAAAATATTTTTTATTGAAAATGTTGTTATCGATGACCATTTCTCTCTAAAATGTTGTTATCGATCTTATTTTCTAAAATGTTATTATCGAATATATTTTCGATAAGAAATGCTGTTATCGAAATTCGTTTTTCCATAAAATGTTGTTATCGAAGATATGTTGCATAAAAAATATAGTTATCGAAACATAAAAAATATTGTTATCGGTCACGATTTTTATAAAAAAAAATTGTTATCGATGACATTTTCGATAACATTTTCCATAGAAAATTTTTTATCTATGTAGGAAATGTTGTTATCGATAAAATATACAATATAAAATTTTGTTATCGATTAAATTTTCTACAGAAAATCTTGTTATCGATAATATTTTCTACAGAAAAATGTGTTATCGATAACATTTTTCATAGGCAATTTTGTTATCGATAATTTTTTCTATAGAAAATCTTGGTATCGATAACATTTCCCATAGAAAATATTTGTATCCATAAATTTTTTTATTAAAAAAAATGATATCGAAATTATTTGGCTTACAAAAAATAAATTCTAACCCTTCCACCTCTATTTCTTCTGTTTTCTCCTTTTTGCAGACACGTTCGCGAAGCAACCGGCATTAATGTCGATATGCGTATCGGCATTCATACGGGTAATGTCTTGTGTGGCGTCCTCGGTCTGAGAAAATGGCAATTTGATGTTTGGAGTGATGATGTGACGCTGGCGAATCACATGGAGAGCGGAGGTGTTGCAGGGTAAGTGAAGGCACTCTCACAAACACACACGAATAAATTTTCATATCAATTCGTTGCTTGTTATGATACGTTTGATTATTGCTTTCCTTTTTATCGGGCATACGAATTAAAGGTGTATTGAAAAGAAGGAAATTGGTTTCATTTGGTTGATTTCGTTCGATTCGTTTCGTTTCGATTTCGAAGGAAAAGGAAATTATCATCGGAACAGCAGCGCAGCTCAGACACTTTTTGGCAATGATTGCTGCAGAAAAAGAAACAGAAATATCAGCAATGGGAAATGGAGGGAAATTGTTTCATGAAATGGAAATTATGGCAACTAATGGTTTTCGATACTTGATATCAATAATCGATAAATGTTTTTTTTTATTATTTTTGCATTTTAATAACAAAATAAAATCGGATGTTTATTTAGCACTTATTGAGGTGCCTAATGAGAGAGCAGAGAGGGGTGGAGGAGGAGTGAAAGGTAATTAAGGAATTAAATTAGGGATTCATGGGGATGGAATTTGAGAAAAGGGAATAGGGATTAGGGAAGGTAGTTATCGGAGATTTTTTTTAAATGGAAAACATTGTTATCGATGACGATTTCTTTAGAGAAATATTGTTATCGATGGATTTTCCTATAGAAAACAATATTATCGATTACCGTTGGTATAGAAAATGTAGTTATCAATAAAAATTATATTGAAAACCTTGTTATCGATAATATTTTATAAGAAAAAAATTGTTATCGATTATTGTTATTGACGGAATTTTCTATAGAAACCAAACAATCGACTACTTCTACTATAGAAAATGATGTTATCGATACGACTTTATATCGAAAATCTTGTTATCGAAACATTTTTCTTTTTATCGATAACTTTTTTATGAAAAATTGTGTTATCGATATTTTTGAAATTGAAATATTTGTTATTGATTCATTTTTAATGGTATACCAAAGTTATCGATGAAATAATAAATAGAAAATCGTGTTATCGATTTTTTTTTTCAAAATAAAATTTAGTTATCGATCATTTTTTTGATAGAAAATGTTGTTATCGAACAAATTTTCTATATAATATATAGTTATCGAAAAATGTGTTTTACAGAAAATTTTGTTATCGATAAGATTTCATGTCGAAAGCTTTGTTATCGATGATTTCTTCCATAGAAAATGTGTTTATCGATGAGTTTTTCTCTAAAATCCGACGTTATGGATAACTTTTTGTGTAGAAAATGTAGTTATCGATAGCATTATCTATGAAAAATTCAGTTATCGATAATTTTTTTTCAATAAACGTTTTGTTTTTCGATTGGGTTTTTAATAGAAAAAATATTATCCATGAAGTTTTCACCAGAAAAATTTGTTATCGATAATATTTTAGGTAGAAGATGTTGTTATCGATATTATTGTCTATAGAAAATTATGTTATCGATAACTTTTTTAATAGAAAAACTTGTTATGTATAATTTTTTCAATAGAAACACTTGTTATCGATAAATTTTTAAAAAGAAAAACTTGTTATCGATTAGTTTTTCAATAGAAGCATTTGTTATCGAGGCAGTTTTCAGCAGAAAATGTTTTTATCGATAATATTTTATGTAGAAGATGTTGCTATCGATATTATTGTCTATTGAAAATTCTGTTATCGATAACTTTTTCTATAGATAATGGTGTTATCGATAATTTGTTTTGCCACAGAAACTTGTTATCGATAATTTTTTCAATAGATAAACTTGTTATCGATAATTTTTTCAATAGAAAACCAAGTTATCGAAAATATCGGCCTTTGAAAAACTTGTTATCGATTAGTTTTTCAATAGAAAAACTTGTTATCGATCATTTTTTCAACAGAAATACTTGTTATCGATAATTTGTTCAACAGAAAAACTTGTTATAGATAATATTGATCTTTGAACTTGTTCCCTATAAAAACTTGTTATTAATAATTTTTAATAGAAGAACCTGTTATCGAAAATGTTTTCAATAGAAAAACTTGTTATCGATAATTTTATCAATAGAAAAACTTGTTATCGATAATTTTATCAATAGAAAAATTTGTTATCGGTACATTTTTCAATAGAAGAACTTGTTATCGGTAACTTTCTAAATATAAAAACTTTTTATCGATAATTTTTTCAATAGAAAAACTAGTTATCGATTTTTTTTTATTAGAAAAACTTGTTATCGGTAATATTGATATTTGAAGATCTTGTTATCGATAATTGTTTTAATAGAAAGATTGTTATCGATATTTTTTAATAGAAGGAATTATTATCGTTCAGTTATTCCATATTATCGATATTGTTATCGATTAGTTTTGCTATAGAAAAACTTGTTATCGATATTTTTCAATAGAAAACTTGTTATAGATAACATTGACCTTTTCAATGAAAAAACCTGTTATAGATACTTTTTTGAATAGAAACATTTGTTATCGATAATTTTTTCAATAGAAAAAATTATTATCGGTTCATTTTTAAGAGAAAAACTTGTTATCGATAAGAAGTTATTATCGTTCACTTATTGCATATTATCGATATTGTTATCGCTTAGATTTTCAAAGGAAAAACTTGTTATCGATAATTTTGTCAATAGAAAGTTTGTTATCGATAATATTTACCTTTCAAAAAATTGTTATCGTTAATTTTTTTAATAGAAATCTTGTTATCGATAAATTTTTCAATAGAAATTCTTATTATCGGTACATTTTTTTCATAAGAAATCTTGTTATCGATGATTTGTTCACTAGAAAAACTTGTTATCGATAATTTTTTCAATTAAATATTTGTTATCGATAATTTTTTCAATAGAAGAAGATATTATCGATCACATATTCTATGTTATCGATAACATTTTATATTGAAAATCGATAAATATCGATAAATTATGCTATCGAAAATCATGTTATCGATAACTTTTTGTTAAAATATTATTGATGAAATTTTGTTGGAAAAAATTATTATCGATAATTTTTTGTTGTCAAAATTTGTTATCGATAACTTTTTCAAAGAGAATAAAATGTATTTTTATTGTCAAATAAAAGGTGGGTGTGGGAACCGAATAAAAATAATATTTGCAGCATAGTATAAATATAATATTCTGTTCCGCACCCCCCTCCCAATCTCCTGTCGATATTTACTTCACATCCGAACCGCCAAACAAATAAAAAAATTTCAATCAAGTGAAACCAATTTTCCAGCCATCACCACCAAAAAAATGATAAAGAAAACAAAATTGAAAATGCGAATAAAAAATTCGGCGGAATCCAATAGACATGAGAATATTGAAAATTTGCTTTTCTCCTCTTCCTCCCTCCATTTCCGCACTCTCCTTTTCCTGCTGTTTATTTATTTTTCTTAAATTATTTCCGTTTTTTTTGTTATCCTCCATCAGACGAGTCCACATCACTAAAAAAACATTGGATTTCCTGAATGGCGAATTCGAAGTGGAAGAGGGTAATGGCGGTAGTCGTGATTCCTATTTGGCAGATCATAAAATTGAAACCTATTTAATTGTGCCACCAAAGGTAAGCCGCCAAAGACATGGCGAATGCAGATTTTTTTATTTAATTCATTCCGTTTTTTTTTTTGTAGAAACCCACCTATATTTCGCACCCGGTGCCACGTGTCATCGAATGCAGTAACTCCTTGGAGGCTGCAGATAATCCCACCGATCAACAACAGCAGCAACAGGTTGGCAGTAATGTCTACAGCTCAGGCGGCAGCCATGGCAGTCGGAATGCTGATGCAGAGGCCTTCGAGAAGCTGCTTCCCCTGACCATTGTCAATTTTAAGGGGGTGGATGGGGCCCAGTCACCAACAGGAGCGACTGCTGGTGGAGGATTAGGAGGTGGTAGCAGCTCTCCTGAACCCAAATTGCCACAATTATCCTCAACAACGACATCGATGTCAATTAAGGAAGAAGAAGATGAGGATGCAGTCGAACTGCGGCACAATGAAGCCAAGGATGCCACTTCGTTGTTACCCGAATCGGTTGCCACAGCCAATGAACTGGCCAATAATAATACTCATGCCTCTCTAACACCCAAGTCTTCGCTGAGTCTACCCAATGATGATGGCCTCAGTGCCAGTGGCAGTGAGGGTGGCGCAGTGGCCACCACCCCCACCACGAATATCACAGAAAATCCTCTGGCACATCTGGACTCATCCGCAGCTTTGAATGGCAATGCGATTGCCAACTCGGTTAATAGCACCAATGCTGCTGCAGCAGGATCTGGAGGGGCAGGTACTGCAGCAACGACCACAACTGGCAATAATTTGTTAACTTCCGATGTGCCGGAGGCAAAGAGCAAACGGAAGCTATCGGTGCAAGGTAAGTGGCTGTGTCAATTTCAGGTAAACAATTTTTAGCTGAAAGGATATGCAGATGATGCAGGATGGAGGGAAAATGAACTTAGAAATGGAAACTAAGTTCCATTAAATGCCATGGCAGGACAGTAGGACAAGGAGTGCATTTTTAAAAATTATTTTTGAAGCCTATCATAAGGCGTGAATTTTTTATGGTAGGCTTCAAAAATAATTTTTAAAAATTTTTTTGAAAAAAAATTTTATTTTTTTTTAAAAATTTTTTTTTTTTTTTTTGTTTTTTTTTTTTTTTTTTGAAAAAAAAATTTTTTTTCGAATTTTTTTTTATTTTCAAAAATAATTTTTTAACATTTTTTTTTTTGAAAAAAAAAAATTTTTAAAAATTTTTTAATTTTTTTTCAAAATATTTATTTACTTTTTTTAATTTTTAAAAAAAAATCGAAATTATATTTGAAGCCTATCATAAGGCGTGGATATTTATGGTAGGCCTCAAAAATACGTTTTAAAAATTTTTTGAAAACAAAAATTTTTAATTAAAAAAAAAAATTCGAAATTATTTTTGAAGCCCATCATAAGGCGTGGATTTTAATGGTAGGCTCCAAAAATAATTTTTAAAAATATTTTTGAAAAAAAATTTTTTGGAAAAAATTTAATTTTTTTTAATATGTAAAAAAAATTCGAAATTATTTTTGAAGCTTCAAAAAAATTTTTAAAAATTTTTTTAAATTTTTTAATTAAAAAAAAATTATCGAAATTATTTTTGAAGCCTATCATAAGGCGTGGATTTTTTATGGTAGGCTTCAAAAAAAATTTTTTTTAAATTTTTTATTAAATTTTCAAAAATTTTTTAAATTTTCAAAAATTTTTTAAATTTTTTTTTAATTTAAAAAAAATTTCGAAATTATTTTTGAAGCCTATCATAAGGCGTGGATTTTTTATGGTAGGCTTCAAAAAATTTTTTTTTAAATTTTTTATTAAATTTTCAAAAAATTTTTTAATTTTTTTTTAATTTAAAAAAAAATCGAAATTATTTTTGAAGCCTATCATAAGGCGTGGATTTTTTATGGTAGGCTTCAAAAATAATTTTTAAAAATTTTTTGAAAAAATATTTTTTTAAATTTTTTTTTTTTATTTAATTTAATTTTCAACATTTTTTTTTATATTTTAAAAATAAAATAAAAAATTTAAAAAAATAATTTTTCAATATTTTTTTTAAAAAAATTAATTTTTTTTTAATATGTAAAAAAAAATTCGAAATTATTTTTGAAGCTTCAAAAAAATGTTTAAAAATGTTTTTAATTAAAAAAAAATTATCGAAATTATTTTTGAAGCCTATCATAAGGCGTGGATTTTTTATGGTAGGCTTCAAAATAAAAAATTTTTTAATTTTTTAAAAAAATTTTCAAAAATTTTTTTAAATTTTTTTTTTTAATTTAAAAAAAATTTCGAAATTATTTTTGAAGCCTATCATAAGGCGTGGATTCAAAAATAATTTTTAAATTTAAAAAAAAATTCAAAAATTTTTATTATTTTTTTTAATTTAAAAAAAATTCAAAATTTGTGTAGCCTATCATAAGGCGTGGATTTTTATGGCAGGCTTCAAAAATAATTTTTAAAAAATTTTGAAAAAATATTTTTTTAAATTTTTTTTTTTTTAATTTAATTTTCAACATTTTTTATTTTTTTGTTTTATATTTTAAAAATAAAATAAAAAATTAAAAAAATAATTTTTCAATATTTTTTTAAAAAAATTTAATTTTTTTTAATATGTAAAAAAAATTCGAAATTATTTTTGAAGCTTCAAAAAAAAATTTTAAAAATTTTTTTTTGAAAAAAAAAAAAATTTTTTAATTAAAAAAAAAATATCGAAATTATTTTTGAAGCCTATCATAAGGAGTGGATTTTTTATGGTAGGCTTCAAAAAATTTTTTTTTTTTTAATTTTTTAAAAAAATTTTCAAAAATTTTTTAAAATTTTTTTTTTTAATTTAAAAAAAAATTCGAAATTATTTTTGAAGCCTATCATAAGGCGTGGATTTTTTATGGTAGGCTTCAAAAATAATTTTTAAATTTTTTTTGGAAAAAAAAATTTCAAAATTTTTTATTAATTTTTTTTAATTTAATAAAAATTTCGAAATTATTTTTGAAGCCTATCATAAGGCGTGGATTTTTTATGGTAGGCTTCAAAAATAATTTTAAAAAAATTTTTGAAAAAATATTTTTTAAAAAGATAATTTTGCAATATTTTTTTAATTTTTAAAAATTTTTTGAAAATAAAATTTCAAAAATGTCGAATTTGTTTTTAATAAAGAATTAATTTTTTCAAATTTTTTCCTTCCAAGAAAGAAAAAAAATTCGAAATTATTTTTGAAGCCGTAGAATTTTTTGGTAGGCTTCAAAAATAAATTTAAAAAATTGTGAAGCCTATCATAATTTTTAAAAATTTTTTGAAAAAAAAATTTTCAAAAATTTTTTTTTTTAATTAAAAAAAAAAATTCAAAATTTTTGTACTCTATCATAAGGCGTGGATTTTTATGGTAGGCTCCAAAAATAATTATTTCAATTTTTTTTTAATTTAATTTTCAACATTTTTTATTTTTTTTTTTTTTGTTTAAATTTTTAAAAATAAAAAAAAAATAAAAAAATAATTTTTAAACTTTTATAAAAAAAATTCAACATTCAACATTTTTTTATTTTTTTTTAATTTTTAAAATTTTTTTGAAAAAAACAATTTCAAAAATTTCGAATTTTTTTTAATAAAGAAAATAAATAAGAAAAATATAAATTTAAAACATTTTTTGAAAAAAAAAATATTAAATTTAAAAAAAATCGAAATTATTTTTGAAAATCGAATTATTTTTTGAAGAAGAAAAAAAATTCAACATTTTTTTATTTTTTTTTAATTTTTAAAAATTTTTTGAAAAAAACAATTTCAAAAATTTCGAATTTTTTTAATAAAGAAAATAAATAAGAAAAATAATTTTAAAACATTTTTTGAAAAAAAATTAAATTTAAAAAAAATCGAAATTATTTTTGTATCTTATCATAACTCATGGATTTTTATGGTAGGTTTCAAAAATAATTTTTAAAAATTATGGTAGGCTTCAAAAATTTTTAAAAAATTGTTGAAAAAAATATTTCAAAACTTTTTTTAAATTTTTTGAAAAAAAATTTTTCAACTTTTTTTTAATTTTTTAAAAAAAAATCTCGAGGCGTTGATTTTTTATGGTGGGCTTCGAAAAAAAATTTTTTTGAAAAAAAATTTCAAAAAAAAATTGTTAAATGTTTTTTAATTTTTTTTTTGTAATAAAAAAAATTCGTTTCTTTTTAAATAAAGAATTTTTTTCAAAAAATTTTAATTTTTTTTCTTCCAGGTCTCATCTCTTTCGCCGATCGCCGCCGTTCCTCAGCCTCATTTACCGAACGCAAAATGTCCTTCCACACAAATGAAAGTTTTCGCAGTCATTCAGGTAAGGTTGTCGAACATTACTATAACAAATAAAAACTTGACATGCACAAACATGCTAGCTGGCATGTGGAAATGACATCAAAAAAAAAACTTTTCTAAGCAAATGGATAGAAAAGTTTAAATAAATGAAATTATTTTCGATTTTATTTTCCAATCACCTTGAGATGGAAAGAAAAAAGCAATTGACCCATGGACCATAAAAAACGTTTCAGTATTTTTTTCCAATAAAATTGAATTTTATTTGTTTTTAACAATTTTTTTTTTCGAACGGATATCACTTTTCTTGGCATCCTTTCCGGTATCGATAAACACTCGCACACACACACATGCACTCATATATTCACCTACACACTTGCAGGTCATGTCACCCGTAATCGCCCCTCATCGAAGATGACCAAATATGTGGAATGCTGGGGTGCGGATAGACCATTTGCCAATATTGCCGAATCGAAGCTGTATAAGAATATTGGGTTGGCGGTAAGTATTCGTATATGTGAAATTTTGTTATCGATTTTTACGAGCAGGTGTGAATGTGTTAGTGAGGAAAAAAATTTCGAAAATTGGATTTGCCACAAGATGGCTTTCTTTTAAAAATGCCATAGGTCCTGAAGGATGCAGTTTATCTCAACCATGACACCCCCTCCCTACCCCCTCTACCGAATTTCCTAAAAGTTACGAGAAAGAAAATGAAATTTTCCGAAACTTTGCAATTTTTCATACCTGCTTGGATTACTTTAACTTAAGTGTTTTTATTTACCTCCTCTACCACATTCCTATCCCCTCCCCTCCACCCTTTGTCACCATGCCGTATTCATTTAATTTCCTAACAATTTTTTCTCATTCCTTTCTTTTCTTCTTTTTCTTTCCATTTTTCCTTCTTTCACAGAGCATCACCATGATTGAATCAAATTTATTGCCACCCGAACGTAAATGTTTTAATTTCAATTGCTTTGGCCCGCCCACGGAGTTGAAACCGCTCACCATGTGGTATCGCAATACGCCACGCGAGGTTATGTATCGCGCCCAGCCGGATACTCATTTTCGTTATGATTTAATCTGTGCATTTTTGCTGTTCGTTTCGATTGCGGCGGTGCAATTAATTGTTATGGATATGTGAGTATTGGGAAGGGAGCGAATTTTTAGAGGGGGAATGAATTACAAACAATTTTTTATAGAAAATGAGTTCGATAACAGTGTTATCGATAAAAAAAATGGTCGATAAGAACATTTCCCAGTGTTTTCTGTAGAATAGTGATTCGATAACAGTGTCATCGATATCAAAATTAGTCGATAACAATATTTTCCACAGTAAATGCGATCGATAACAGATATTGTTATCGATAACACGATTTTCTACATAAATTAGTATCGATAACAACATTTGTTAACAAAACAGTTATCGATAACAGCATTTTCTATGTAAAATTTTATCGATAACAATATGTTCTACAAAAAATGTCATCGATAACAACATTTACTCTAGAAAATAGTGTCGATAACAACATTTTCTACTGAAAATTTCATCGATATTCATATTTTTAACGGAAAATATCATCGATAACAACAGTTTCTCTAGAAAATAGTATCGATAACTAAATTTTTTACAGAAAATGTCATCGATAACAATATTTTCCACAAAATATGTTATCGATAACAAAATTTTCTATAGAAAATGTCATCGATAACAAACATTTTCTCTAGAAAATATTTTACAGAAAATGTCATCGATTACAATATTTTCTACTGAAATTGTTGTTATCGATAACAACATTTTCTATCGAAAATGTCTTCGATAACCAAATTTCTGCAGAAAATGTGATCGATAACTACAGTTTATACAGAAATTCTTATCGATAACAACATTTTCTACAGGAAATTTCATCGATAACATAAATGTCATCGATAACAACATTTTCTACAGAAAATGTTTTCGTTAACATATTTTTTCTAGAAAATATAATCGATAACAACATTTTCTCTAGAAAATAGTATCGATAACAAAATTTTCTACAGAAAATGTCATCGATAACAAAATTTTATACTGAAAACATCATCGATAACAACATTTTCTGCAGAAAATGTCACCGATAACAAAATTTTCTATAGAAATTGTTATCGATAACAACATTTTCTATAGAAATTGTTATCGATAACAACATTATCTATATAAATTTTTATCGATAACAACATTTTCTATCGATAATGTCATCGATAACAACATTTTCTATCGATAATGTCATCGATAACAACATTTTCTATAGAAATTGTCATCGATAATAAAATGTTTTACAGAAAATGTCATCGATAACAACATTTCTATAGAAAATTTCGTCGATAACAACTGTTTCTACAGAAAATGTTATCGATAACAACATTTTTTGCAGAAAATGTCATCGATAACATCATTGTGTATAAATAAATTAATCGTTCATAACATTTTCTATAAAAATTGTGTTCGATAACACCATTTTTGTTACAATTTTTATCGATAACAATATTCTCTATAAAAATAGGGTTCGATAACAATATTTTTTATAGAAATTATTATCGAAAACAAAATTTTTTGTCTATATTTTTTTCGATAACGTTATTTTCTTTAAATACGATGTTATCGATAAAAACATTTTCCATAGGAACTACTATCGATAACATAATTTTCTTTAGATATCGATAACAGTTGTTTCATTTTGAACAATTTTCGATAACTACTATTTCATTATTATAGTTCATCGATATGGAAATTGGATGAACTACAATTTAAATTGTTATCGATAACTATATTTTATGTGGAAATTATTATCGATAACAACATTTTCTTCCGAAATTATTATCGACAACTCTATTTTATGCGTAAACGATTTTGAATAACTAATATTTCTTTATTGTAGTTGATCGATAACAATATTTAATTATCGATAACAACATTTTCAAAACAATTTGTTATCGATAACAAAATTTTCTACAGAAATTGTGATCAATGACATCATTTTCTATGACAATTGCTATCGATAACAATATTTTTCATAACAAATGTTATCGATAACAAAATTTTTTATAAAAGTTGTTATCGATAACAATATTTTCTATACAAATTATTATCGATTTTTTTCATTCTCTAGCAATCTTGCCTTGCTGGGCTCCCTGATAGCCACCTTTATCTCCCTGGGCCTCTTCCTTTATCTGAGCAACATGCACGTTCCTGATATTAATTCGACGACAAGCGATCGCAATGGACCGGGACAGGTGGTGGCCAGTAGTCGGTTTCTGCGCATGGCTATTTTTATTATCGTGAATATTTTAATATCGGCCTGTGCGGTGTTTAGTGTGGTAAGTTTCATGAGAGCTGCGGAACCCAACCAAACTCTTTAAGTCCCTCATCTATTTTTCCGGTTTTTTTTTCAGATCAACTTCGCCTTTGAGGATTATAGCGTCGAAGAGGTCTCAAATCTCAACTTCACCGGCATCTCAAATATATCGAATGATTCTTCAATACCTGACATAGATTCAATATCCCCATATCCCGATCTACAAATCGCTCCAATATATCTATTCTGCTGCGCGATTAGTTTGGCCGCAGTATCGGCCTTCCTGAGGTCGGGTTTCATTCTGAAATTCTTCACAATGTTTGTGGCGTTGGTGTGTCAAATTGTCGTGCTGCATTTTAGTAATCTATTCGAGCTCTACAATGCGCGATATCGTATGGACTAGTAAGGACCGAATACCTCTACCAGAGACCCTTGATTATAATCCGCCTTTTTCTCCCGTCTCTTCTGTCTTTCAGTTTCCCCATCGAAGTAAAAAGTTTCCTATTGCTGTTGCTGGTGGTGGCGGTTCTGCACACCCTCGATCGCCAGGGTGAATATGTGGCCCGCACCGATTTCCTGTGGAAGGCCAAGCTAAAGGTGGAACAGGAAGAAGTCGAAACAATGAGGGGTATCAATAAGGTAGGGCTTCAAAACCATAATCCCCCAAAAGAGAACCCTTTTAATTATTTTCTCCCTCTCTGCCACTGCAGATCCTCCTGGAGAACATCCTACCCGCCCATGTGGCCACCCATTTTCTTAGCCAACAGAACACTTCAGAACTCTACCACGAAAGCTATTCCTGTGTTGCCGTTATGTTTGCCTCCATACCGAACTATAAGGAGTTCTACGATGAGACCGATGTAAATAAACAGGGTCTGGAGTGTTTGAGATTATTGAACGAAATTATATGCGATTTTGATAAGGTATGGAACCATTTCCATAAGTTATCGATAACAATCCATAATAAAAATTTGGAAATTTCTTTTCCAGTTACTATTAAAACCGAAATTTAGCGGCATCGAAAAAATCAAAACCATTGCTAGTACCTATATGTGTGCATCGGGCCTGAGGCCCGGCAAGGAGGAGGGAGCCAAGGTAAGTTCCGATTCCCTTTAATTTCGAATAGAATTTAATATTGTTTTCTTAAAAATAAATATCGTTTTTGCGCATGCAGCTGATGCGTAATTTTGCGGTAAGTTACCCCTACAAAATTATTATCGATAACACAATATTGATTTTCGATAAATGTAATTTTGATTGGAAAAATGATCGATAACATAATATTGAAAACAAAAATTCTGAATAAGGAAAATATTTAAGCAAAAAATATCGATAACAATGTTATCGATGAAATAAAATTTCGATAGCAGTCGAAAATTAACCGATAATACAATTTCTGTGGATAAGATAATCGATAACTAAATTTTCTATAGAAATGTGAATTGATAACTAAGTTATCGGCAGAAAAATTAATCGATAACAAAGTTTTCTGTGGAAAAGTTAATCGATAAATAAATGTCCAATAGATATCTGTATCGATAACATTGTTTTCTATAGAAACGTCGATCGACAATTCAGTTATCGACAGAAAAATTTACCTATAACAAAGTTTTCTATGGAAAGTTAATCTATAGAAATATGGATCGATAACATTGTTTTCGAAAGAAATATCGATCGATAATAAAAATATCGACAGAAAAAAATGATCGATAACAAAGTTCTCTATGAAAAAGTTCATCGATAACAACATTTTCTATAGAAATCTGTATTGATAACATTGTTTTCGATAAAAACATCGATCGATAATATAACTATCGACAGAAAAAAATGATCCATAACAAATATGGAAAAGTTCATCGATAACTACATTTTTTATAGAAATCAAGATCGATAACAACATTTTTTTCAGAAAAACCGATCGATAACATATTACTCTACAGAAAAATTTAACGATAAGAATATTCTCTACTAAAAATCGATCAATAACTATATTTTCCTTAGAAAAATCAATCGATAACAATATTTTCTGCAGAAATCTGAATCGATAACAACCTTTTCTTTAAAAAAATATATCGATAACAAATTCCTGTACAGAAAAATATATATAACAAGATTCGCTGCTGAAAAACTAATCGATAACAAACTTTTCGATAGGAAAAATATATCGATAACAATATTTTCATCAAAAAAAGAGATCGATAACAACTTTTTCTTTGTACAACTGGATCGATAACAATATTTTCTAAAGTTATCTGGATCGATTACAAAGTTTTCTTTAGGAAAATCAATCGATAACAAATTTTTTTCCATAAAAGCTGATCGATAACACAATTCCCTGCAAAAAAACTAATCGATAACAAACTTTTCTATAGAAAAAAATCGATCAATAACATTTTTTTGAGAAAAATCGATCAATAACAATGTTTTCATTAGAAAAACTGATCGATAACAAATTTCTTTACATAAAAAGTGATCGATAAAACGATTTCTTACAGAAAAAATAATCGATATCAAACTTGTTATAGAAAAAATCGTACGATAACAATATTTTCTAAAGAAATCTGGATCGATAACAAAGCTTTCGTTAGGAACATCAGTCGATAACAAACTGTTTTCCATAAAAGCTGATCGATAACACGATTCTCTGCTGAAAACTAATCGATAACAAACGTTTATATAGAAAATATATATCGATTACAAGATTTTCAGTGTATAAAGAGATCGATAACAACTTTTTCTTTGGAAAATGGATCGATAACAATATTTTCTAAAGAAATCTGGATCGATAACAAAGTTTTCTTTAAGAAAATCGATCGATAACAACTTTTTTTTTTGGAAAAATGAATTGATAACAATATTTTCTAAAGAAATCTGCATTTTTGTCAAAAAATCTGATCGATAACACGATTCCCTGCAGTAAAACTAATCGACAACAAAATTTTCTATAAAAAAAATCGAAAAATAGATCGATAACAACATTTTCTTCAAAAAATCACCCGATAACAACGCTTTTTTTTAAAAAAAATCGATTGCTAACTAGTATTTCTAAAGAAATACGTTACTACAAAAAATTAATCGATAACAAGGCTATCTTTAAAAATTGATCGATAACATAGTTATCGCCCGAAAATTTGATCGATAACAAAGATATTTATACATACATTTTTCCGATAACATTATTTTTGCAGATAATTTTAATCGATAACAAATTTTTTGCAAACACAATTATCGATAACAAAATAATTATCGTAAAAACAATTAATCGATAAAAAAAATTAGTATTATTTTTTTCAATATTTTTATGCAAAAATCGGTAACAAAAAAAAAATATCGATAAAATTATCTAAATAAAAATATTTCGATAACAAATAAAATTATCGATAACAATTTTTATATATTTGTTAGATGAATACATTTTGCCGATAACATTATTTTTGCATATAATTTTAATCGATAACAATTTTTTTTGCAAACTTAATTGTCGATAACAAAATTTTTCGCCAAAAAAATTATCGATAAAAAATTTAGTATTAATTAATTTTTCAATATTTGAGTAGGAAAAAATCGATAACTAAATTTTTTTAAAGAAAAATATATCGATAACAAAAAAATTATCGATAAAAATTTTTGTATATCGATAAAAATATTTCATTATAAAAAAATCGATAACAAAATTTGGTAAAGAAAAAAAATCGATAACAAAATTTTTTTATATAAAATCGATAACAAAATTAAAAAAATCGATAACAAAAATCGAAAAAAAATTGATATATTTTTTTCTTCTTTTATTTCCATTTTATCAACATGCTTCTGCCGATAACAAAATCCCTCGACCTCTATCCCGATCTCCACCTCAATCGCCCCCGCTCTCAATCCCCACCCCTTAGGACGAGAAACGCACCGAGGAACACAATGTTGTCATTCTGGTGGAATTTGCCATTGCCCTGATGTCAATTCTGGATTCGATAAATCGTGAATCATTTCAACGTTTCCGACTACGCATAGGGCTCAATCATGGACCAGTTATTGCCGGGGTGATAGGAGCCCAGAAGCCCCAGTATGACATTTGGAGTAATACCGTTAATGTGGCATCGCGCATGGATTCATGCGGTGTTATGGGCAGATTACAGGTAAGGTGGCCGATATGACAATTTGATTTATCAGTGTGATTGTATTTTCTCTTCTCTCTCCCTATCTCTTTCACACACTCTCTCTCTCTTTACAGACAACGGAGCACACCGCCAAAATTCTCATGGCCGCCGGCTATGAATGCGAATGCCGCGGCCTGACCTATGTCAAGGGCAAGGGAAATCTAGTCACCTATTTTGTAAAGACACCATTCGATGGCAAATTGTAAAGAATTCTGTTTTTCGTTTTTTAGGTTATCTTTTTTTTTAATTGTTATTAATAATAATTTCCAAAAAAAATTAAAAAAACAACAACACAAAAACTCATTAAAAAACAAATTAATCGCTAATGGAAAAATTATGCAAATTAGTAATCAAAAGAACAAAAAGTGAAAAATAAAATCATTATTTAGCAGAAAAATTATATTTATTACAACAACACCTCCACCCACACACCCTAGAGTTCGAATCCCCAACCCACCCATATCCTACTCCCTCATCATAATTACCAGATCACATAAAAAAGCCAATTTAAATAAAAAGTCCTACCAGGAAGGTAGAAGAAGAAAAAAGCTGACGCGAACAAAAACAAAATGAAGTTAACAACAAAAAATTTTAATTAACTTCCCGATGACCCGCAAATATCCTCATCATCCTCGTCATCACCACCACCCAGAACCCTAACCTAAGAATTAAAAAATTATTTTTATTTACATACAATCATATTTCAATTATCCCGAAAGCATTTAATTTATATACACATACATACACACACACATTTATATACACATGCATATATAAATATTTTTTACAACAACAACAATTATAATAATGGAGAAAAAACAACAAAAATGCCACACAGGAGAGGCAGGTGAAAAGGCAGCAGGGGAAAGGGGTAGAGACCACCAGGACACCATATAACCCACAAATGAGCGGAAATATTTATCGATAACAACATTTTATATATTAACAATAATCGATAATCACATTTCCATAGAAAAAATCGATAACAAATTGTTACACCAATAACATTATCGATAAAAAATAGTTCTTACCAAAAAATGTCGATAAAATTTTTTTTTGTAGGAAAAATTTTCGATAACAAAATTTTCCATAGATTTATCGATAACAGCATTCTCTAAAGAAAAAATTATCGATATCAAAATTATGTAAAGAAAAAAATTATCCAAAACAAAATTTTCTACAGGAAAAAATAACAATAACAAAATTTTTAATAGAAAAGTATTATCGATAATAAGACTTTCCATAGAAAAAATGATCGATATCAAAATATTCTATCGAAAAAATTATCGATAACAAAATTTTCCATACAAAAAATCAATATATCCCACAAATGAGCGCAAATTGTTATTGATAACAACATTTTATATAGTAACAATAATCGATAATCACATTTCCACAGAAAACATTATCGATAACAAAATTTTCCACAAATAAAATTATCGCCAACAAAATATTTCTTACAAAAAATTATCGATAAAAAAATTTTCTATAGAAAAAATATCGATAACAAAAATTTCTATAGAAAAAACTATCGATAAGAAATTTTTTTATAAGAAATATTACCGATAACAAAATTTTGCACAGAAAAAATTATCGAAATCAAAATTTACTATCAAAAAATTGTGGATAACACCATATTCTATAGCAAAAATCAATCTGTCGATAACCAAAATGTTTATTAAAAAATTTTCATAAAAACCTTAATCGATAATAATACATTGTATAGAAAATAATATCGATAACAAAATTCCCAAAAAAAGTATCGATAACCAAATTTTTATATAAATAATTATCTATAACACAATTTTTCATAGAAAAATATATCGGTCACAACATTTTCCTTCGGTAAAATTATCGATAAAAGTATAAACCCCATAATCGATAACAATATATTATATAGAAAGTATTATCGAAACAATTCGATAAAAACATTTTCAATATAAAAAATTTTATCGTTATCCAAAATTAAAAAAAAAAATTATCGATAACAACAATTTTCATAGAAAAATATATCGATAACAACATTTTCCGTCGATAATAATATATTCTTTAGAAAATTTTATCCGTAACAAGTTATTTCCATGGAAGAAAAAAATTATCGATGTATTACAAATAACGATAAAAAAATTATCGGTAACCAAATTTTTTTCAGTACAAAATATCGATAAACAAATTTTTTTAGTAAAAATATCGATAACCAATTTGTTTAGTAAAAATATCAATAACAACATTGTTTATAGAACACCATTTTTCTTCAATAAAAATATCGATAAATATACTTTTCATTAAAAAACATAACCGATAACAATATAATCTATAGTAAATATTATCGATAACAAATTTTTCCATAGGAAAAAATGATCCATAACACCATATTCTTCGGAAAAAATATCGATATCGAATATTCTAAAGAGAACAAAATCGATAATTATTAAAAATTTATCGATAACAGAATTTTCTGGGGAAAAGATAATCGATAAAAACTTTTGTAATCAAAAATACTCGATAATAGTATATTCTAGAGGAAACAAAATCGATAATATATTAAAAAATGTCGATAATAGATTATTTTTGTGGTAAAGTTAATCAATAACAAAATTTTCGTCAAAAAATTATTGATAATATTTATCGATAACAAAATTTTTCAAAGAAATATGATCGAAAAAGAACATTTCTTTGCAAAAGATAATCGATAACAATATATTCTTTGAAAAATATCGATAACAACATATTCATTTAATATTTATCGATAACAGAATTTACTATAGAAATAGTAATCAGAGTCTAATTCAATAAAATATTCGATTAACAACATAATTTTCTATAAAGAGAAATAATCGATAACAATATTTCTTGAAAAAAAAGAATATTATCGATACAAATATTTTTTATGGGGAAACTTCGTTTAATAACATAAATTATCGATAAAATAATAAGAAATTTTTCGATAATAACATATTCCAAAAAAAAAGTTACCGATAACAATGTTATGTTATACTCGCTCGATAATTTAAAAAATAATATAATAAAAAAGTAATCGATTACTCAAATTTCTATAGCAATATTATCGATAACTCGGAAACTCATCCTCACCCTTTAAATTTCCCTCAAACGTTCTTAAAAGCAGCCACTCATTCACCTTTGTAATCGTCGTGTTTAGTTTTGCTTCGGCTGAATATGTGGTAATGGCCAAAAATCCAATGACCTTACATTTTCATACGCTTAAAATGAGGTGGGGGAGGAGGGGAAGGGAAGTTAATTTTGCCTTAGGCCCTAATAACACCAAGCTGCCATAGTTATGAAACGCCATCATGAAGAAGGGGAATCTTTTTTTTTGCGCAAAAGACTGCCAAACATTTGCCGAGGACTCTCACTCTTGTCGTTGTTGTTGCTCCCTATCTTGTTTTTTCTCCAACATATAGCCTTAGGTGTTTATTAAAAGAACAAATTTTTAAATGTAAATGTTATTTTTTTTATGTTGTTTTTGTGAAAACGGAAAAACAACAACACATTTGTTATGTTAATTTAATAATGTTAAACAAAATGTTTATTATTCTATTAAGAATTATTTTATTTTGTTCCCCTTAATATTACTTTAAATTGTTGCCCATTTAATTGCACTAACAACAAAACAATATCACTCACACACAACCTAGCTATCACACAGCCACTCTATCTCACACACATATTCTGTCTCACACCCACTTCCTCTCTCTCTCTTACATTATGTCTCTGTCGCCCTCTCTCTGTGAAGATATACCTCAAAGAATACTTTTTTATTCTTACAACAACAAAAACAACTGTCTCTAACGGCTAAACAAACTAACCTCTTAATGCCCACCTACTACTACTACTCTCTCTCACACACACTCACTATCTCTGTCTCTCACAGTCTCTATGCAATGAGTATGCAATGCTAAACATGATAACGGCAGCCAACAGCAACTACACAACAATAAAAAAATGTAAACAAACCAAAACAGATCATGAAAAAATGTAAAGGTTTAACGAAAGTTATCTATTTTTTTTTAAATAAATTAAATAGAAAAAATACATATTTATATAAAAAAATATATATTTATATATAAACTAAATATTTATATATTTATATATATATAAAGAAATTATAACACAAACAACACAACTATTTTTTATACTAAATTATTATTATTAAAAAAAAATTAATTTTATTTTTTTAAATATTTTTCTTTCTGTTTTTATTATAGATTTAAGTTTTTTTATTATGATTGTATGTTACACAAAGTGAAAAAGTAGAGTTATTAAGAAAAAATTAACTAAAAATAAATATATATTAGGTGTGTATGTTGAATATATTATATATAAAAATATATATATATTAAAAATATATATTAAAAAAAATAGTTAAAAAAAAATAGAAAAAATCTATTTTTTGTGAAAAAATAAATCAATAATAATAACTGTATTGTAAAAGAACAAATATGTCATATTATTATAATAATTATATACACACACACACAAACAATAATGAGAAATCGAAATAAAAATGTTTAGCAAAATTAAAAAAAAAAAATGGAAATTGGTTTTATTTGAATTTAAAAAAATAGGGCGTGGATTTCTTAAAAATTACTTTTAAGGATCTTCGCAAGGCGTAGATTTCTTAAAAATTATTTTTAAGCATCTACGCAATGCGTGGATTTCTTAAAAATTATTTTTAAGCATCTACGCAATGCGTGGATTTCTTAAAAATTATTTTTAAGGATCTTCGCAAGGCGTGGATTTCTTAAAAATTATTTTTAAGGATCTTCGCAAGGCGTGGATTTCTTAAAAATTATTTTTAAGGATCTTCGCAAGGCGTGGATTTCTTAAAAATTATTTTTAAGGATCTTCGCAAGGCGTGGATTTCTTAAAAATTATTTTTAAGGATCTTCGCAAGGCGTAGATTTCTTAAAAATTATTTTTAAGGATCTTCGCAAGGCGTAGATTTCTTAAAAATTATTTTTAAGGATCTTCGCAAGGCGTAGATTTCTTAAAAATTATTTTTAAAGATCTTTGCAAGGCGTAGATTTTTTAAAAATTATTTTTAATGATCTTCGCAAGGGGTGGATTTCTAAAAAATTATTTTTAAGGATCTTCGCAAGGCGTAGATTTCTTAAAAATTATTTTTAAAAAACTTTGCAAGGCATATATTTTTTAAAACTATTTTTAAAAAACTTCGCAAGGCGTAGATTTCTTAAAAATTATTTTTAAGCATCTTCACATGGCGTAGGTTTCTTAAAAATTATTTTTAAGCATCTTCGCAAGGCGTAGATTTCTTAAAAAATATTTTTAAGCATCTTCGCAAGGCATAGGTTTCTTAAAAATTATTTTTAAGGATCTTCGCAAGGCGTAGATTTCTTAAAAATTATTTTTAAGGATCTTCGGAAGGCGTAGATTTCTTAAAAATTATTTTTAAGGATCTTCGCAAGGCGTAGATTTCTAAAAATTGTTTTTAAGGATCTTCGCAAGGCGTAGATTTCTAAAAATTGTTTTTAAGGATCTTCGCAAGGCGTAGATTTCTTAAAAATTGTTTTTAAGGATCTTCGCAAGGTGTGGATTTCTTAAAATTTTTTTTAAGGAACTTCGCAGGGCGTGGATTTCTTGAAAATTAGTTTTAAGGATCTTCGCAAGGCGTGGACTTCTTAAAAATTATTTGTAAGGATCTTCGCAAGGCGTGAATTTCTTAGAAAATATTTTTAAGGATCTTTGCAAGGCGTAAATTTCTTAGAAAATATTTTTAAGGATCTTTGCAAGGCGTAAATTTCTTAAAAATTATGTTTAAAGGATCTTCGCAAGGCTTGGATTTCTTAAAAAATATTTTTTAAGGATCTTTGCAAGGCATGGATTTATTAAAAATTACTTTTTAAGGATCTTCGCAAGGCGTAGATTTCTTAAAAATTATTTTTAACGATATTCGCAAGGCCTGGATTTCTTAAAAATTATTTTTAAGGATCTTCGCAAGGCGTGCATTTCTTAAAAATTATTTTTGAGGTCCCCACTTCTTGTATTTCAGTTCTACAACAACAACAAATTTTTCTTTTTTACTTATTCGAGTTTAAATTTATTTTCCACAATAAATATTTTTATAAATTTTTTTTTCCTACATTTAGAAAAAAATTGATTTTGATTTAGAAAATGCATGAATACGATTAAAAATAATATTTACAAATCTTAGATATATATAAAAATACAACTTAAATATATATACAAAAAATACTATCTTATACAAATACTAAGAATATTCGAAGAAAATGGCCTCAAAAAAGATATGGAGATTCTAGAGCAGAGAATGCTGAAACGTATTTCGCTTCGATTCGTTCATTCTGTATGTAGCCAATCTTGAAGATGAAGCGAATGATTATATGAAGATCCCATCCTCGGCATTCCGTCTTGTTGTTGATAAAGTACTTGTGTTCCGGTTTTGCACAAAATATATGGAGATTCTCTCTCCCGAAGGCTCAATCTGTATGCATCATTCTGAAGATGAAGCGATCGCTATTGTTCGGTTAATCTGTATGCATCATCCTGACGACGAATAAAATTCTGTGCTGTATTGTGTAGCTGTTCAATTCATCTATTATATAGAGATCTCCAGTTGATAGATACAATCGGCATTCCATCTACTTGTTCATAAAATACTCGGGGAGTTTTGTTCGCGATGGCAAATCATTGGCTTTGTTGTACAGATTTTTTGCGTATTCTAGGTCTAAGTTTATGATTAAAACTAATTCATAAAATAAAAAATAAAACACAAAGGTATCTCCAATCGGAGATAATAGAATTACAAATATAATTTTTTTTTTTAGATCCAAAAAATGCTTAAACGGAATTAAAAAAAAACAGAATCCCAACAAAGAAGGGAATGTGTTGTGGATCAATGCATTACGGTACAACCAATTCCACAAATTTTCTGTGCCGCCATATTTTAAAAATGTGGCAAACACACCTTGCCGGCGAACAATTCCGATACCACTGTGATCCACAGGGCCAACACAAACAGGATATAAGATATACCAATCTTATAAGTATTCGGTAATTGATATGCCTGACCACCAATTTCTTCAATATGAAAGCCAAGAGGAAATACCACTGCGGCCAGACAAAACAATACCATTGCTGTAAATCCTACCCAACGGGCATAGGGTATAACATTACGATCCCATGTACTCGATGCCAGCAGGATAACCGTTGTGGTAATACAAATACAGCCAATAAAAATGCATACCAATGCAATTAGCCATTCGGGTTGTAGTTCGGGTGTGTAGCAAACTTGTGGCCGATTGTAGAGGGTCATACAGGTCCACATGAGACCCAAACGTATGTCACCTGGAAGAAAGGAGGGTTTAAATTTGAATTTAATATACTGAATAGGGGCTTTTACTCACCCGCCTCTTCCGTCACAATCCAATCGGGCATGGCCAAACTAACAATGGCAAAGACATCTGCGGCCATAAATAATGTGGCACTAATTGTGGTTAATTTGTCCATTTTTTAAACTGAAAAAAGTGAAAATTGGGGAAACAAATAAAAAATCGATGAAGGGTTTTATTCTCTGAATAAATAAATTTCAAATTAAAAAATATTTTTTGAAGTCTCCATAAGGCGTCGATTTGAAGAAAGGTATTTTTGACGTCTCCATAAGGCGTGGATTTAAAAATGTTTTTTTTGAAGTCTCCATAAGACGTGGATTTTAAAACAGATATTTTTTGGACGTCTCAATAATGCGTGGATTTAAAAAAAGGTATTTTTTGAAGTCTCCATAAGGAGTGGATTTAAAAAAATTAATTTTTGAGGTTTCCATAAGGCGTGGATTTAAAAAAGGTATTTTTTGAAGTCTCCAGAAGGCGTGGATTTAAAAAAAGGTATTTTTTTAGTCTCCATAAGGCGTGGATTTAAAAAAGGGTATTTTTTGAAGTCTCCATAAGGCGTGGATTTAAAAGAAGGTATTTTTTGAAGTCTCCATAAGGCGTGGATTTAAAAAAAGGTATTTTTTGAAGTCTCCATAAGGCGTGGATTTAAAAGAAGGTATTTTTTGAAGTCTCCATAAGGCGTGGATTTAAAAAAATGTATTTTTTGAAGTCTCCATAAGATGTGGATTAAAAAAAATTTTTTTAAAGTCTCCATAAGGCGTGGATTGAAAACAAATATTTTTTGAGACTCCATAAGGCGTGGATTTAAAAAAAGGTATTTTTTGAAGTCTCCATAAGGCGTGGATTTAAAAAAGGGATTTTTTTTAAGTCTCCATAAGGCGTGGATTTTTTTAAAAAATATATTTTTAAGTTTCACAACATTGGGCTTGACAATCGCATAGGAATCTCTAAACTCCAATTGCTTAGAAACAAGTATTTCTAAGGTTCCGGCCACAATCGGCAGTCTGTGGGGCAAACGAAGTGGCGGTTCCATCACAACCCAGTTTTCAGCTTTTGACTGAGTCAGAAATTTATCACTATTTTTACATCAATTTCTTTTTATGCCACTGTTAAATTTTCATATAATTGCTGTGTATCTCCATCCCACTTGCATAGGAATATTTTATTTTCATAAAATTTGGGTCATCACCATCTAATGTACAGATTTTTCAATTCTTCCGGACACTAACAAACAACTTCACTTTTTCAATCAAGATCATTCCCGATTCAATCCAATATTTGCTTTATATTCACTGAATTCCGCAGTCCAAAGCAAAGGAATCTTGTGTGACTACCCCGATGGGGGACCCAAACAACTGGAGAAACCATATATTTTACTCTTTGAGGCATTTACCGACCTATTTTTCCACTTTCTATTAAATTGAAATGTTTGATATTTAATAATATATTAATTTTCGATATAAATTGAATATTTACTTGTGTTTTTTCCAAATAAATTCCAATATAAACAACTTTTCTTTTCCAGCTTCACCCACAATACACAAACTCCAGCAATTTAGGGATCTACAGATCGAGTTTTGACCAAAAGCACATAATGCTTCTTCTTGCTGAAATTATTAATTAATAACTTTAAGGCATTTTGAAACAACTTTATAAATATATTTATGTTCAGGAAGAATCAGAGGGCATATTATAATGTATATTGTTCCCCTTAACCCTCCCTGTTGCTTGCACAGTCATGTTTTCTACAAGTTTCTTTAATATGTCAAGTGAATTGATAGCCCGTTGTATTGTTTAGGGATCTATAAATCGATTAATTTACTTTGATGTGTTCTAAGCCTAATGGAAATGATGTAACGCCGTCAAACATTGTTAATAGGTGAGTGGTAGCAATTCACCGCGAATTGATAACACATTTGATTGTGTTTTGTCAATTTAAGAAAAATGGACATGTTTGGCGCCTAAAAATATGCAACAAAGCGATTGGAATGTTAAAAAGGCTATATATATGTATGGATTAATGGGAAAGAGGGCTATTTACAGGAGAAATGCTTATAGGCAAATTTTGGTTATCTATAAATCTATTAATATACATTAGTACATTACTTTGATGTGTGTTCTAAGCCTAATAGAAATGACGCAACGGCGTTAACGTTGTTTATTGGTATTGCCAAGTTAAAGAAAAATTGGCGCCTAAAAGTATGCAACAACTCGAATGGAATAGGGAAAAAATCTAAAAATTGGTCTGTTCCCGTACTGCAAGAATCTACTACTTATTACTACGATAACATGGAAAAAAGGGCTATTTACAGCTGAAAAAGCTTATAGGCAAATTTTGAACATCGTCCCATAGGTTATTACTGAAATATGTGGGCCTTAAGGCCCTTTCAAACTTAAATCTAACAGCATTACCTCATGCTAGAGAGGGTATTTAAAGTTGAACCCAACCAAACTTAGCCACCATTTCATTATTTGCATTTAAATGCCATTAATTGAAAACAAAAAAACAATCTCGTTTAACGTTGTACGTTTTGCACTTGTTTTCTTGTTCTTCTTTATTTATTGATAATGCATATTTTTGTTAAAATTGTTATAATATATTTATTTGTTGTTGTTGTTCTTTTTTTTTAATTTTTCAAATTAAAAAAACCGATAATTTTTGAAATAAATTACAATAAAGAGAGAGAGGGGCGTTGAAGAGTAGTAGAACGATAGACAATGGATCGAGTTGTTATAGTTGATGTTGTTGGAGTTTCATTTTTTTCTATATATAACTTAAGGCGTTTGTTGTAAAAGTAGAGGGAGGAGGGAAGGGTTTTTGGTGGTAGGTGTTTTTGAGATGTTGAGAATTAGATCTAGAAGTTAATGGGTTTGCCAAAGGCAGCGGCAACATTGGCCTCACGCAAAGCTTCGGCGCAGGTCTAGAGGAAGAAAAAGAAGAAGCAAAGAAGTTAATAAAAATGATACTAAAAAATTTTAAAGTTTATGACTTACAGGATGGGCATGACAGACACGGGCAACATCTTCAGCGGAGGCACCATATTCCATGGCCAAGACAGCTTCGTTGATAAGTTCGCCGGCAGACTGGAAGAAATATTTAAAAAAAAATCAATTAAGTTCCTTTCAAAAAAACAATTCCATTTTTTTTACTCACGGGACCAATAATGTGTGTGCCCAGCACACGATCTGTGGCCTTATCGGCCAACACCTTCACAAAACCATCAGTTTCATTGTTGGTCTTGGCACGCGAATTGGCCAAGAAGGGGAATTTGCCAACCTTGTATTCAACACCCTCCTGTTTCAAAGCTTCCTCGGATTTGCCAACCCACGCAACTTCAGGATGTGTATAGACAACAGATGGCACACAATTGTAATCGATGTGAACATGGCCACCCAACATACCCTCTACACAAATGATACCCTCATCTTCAGCCTTATGGGCCAACATGGGACCATGAATACAATCACCAATGGCATAAATGTTAGGCACTGTGGTCTGGAAATGATCGTTGACAGGAATGCGGCCTCTATCATCCTTGACAATGCCAACATTCTCCAAACCCAAACCTTCAGTGTATGGACGACGACCGACGGACACCAACAAGGCATCACAACGGATCTCTTCCTTTTCGCCAGTCTTGGCATTTTCCACCAACACGGTGACAATGTTGCCATCACGGGTGGCGGACAACACCTTGGTACCGGTCTTGAATTGCAAACCCTGTTTGGCCAAGACCTTTTGGAAAGTTTTCGAAACCTCACCATCAATGCCGACACCACCAATCGTGTCCATGAATTCAACAGCAATCACTTCGGCGCCCAAACGAGACCACACCGAACCCAATTCCAAACCGATGACACCAGCACCAATGACAATCATCTTTTCGGGTACCTGTTTCAAGGCCAAGGCACCAGTGGACGAGACAATAACCTCCTCATCGATTTCAATGCCGGGGAATGGTGTCACTTCCGAACCGGTGGCAATCATGATATTTTTGGTTTGCACAGTCTCGACAGAACCATCATCTTTTTTCACTTGGACTTCGGTGGGTGAGGTAATGGTACCGAAACCAGTCAACTGGGTGACTTTGTTCTTTTTGAACAATTGGGCAATGCCACCGGTCAAAGCCTTAACGGCATTGCTCTTTTGGGTCATCAACTTATCCAAATCCAAGGAGACGTTACCGCAAACGATGCCGCGATTATCCAAATCACCCGAATGGGCCATGTGATAATAGTGGGAGTTGTTCAACAGCGCTTTGGAGGGAATGCAACCAACATTGAGGCAGGTACCACCCAAAGTGGGATTCTTTTCCACACTGACAGTCTGTGGAGAAACAAGATGAACATACAGATATATTTCTGATAGGTATGGGTGGAAATTTCGGGTTTACTTACCTTCATACCCATTTGGGCAGCTTTGATGGCAGCAACATAACCACCGGGACCCGAACCGATGACAACCAAATCAGCTTCATGTGTGGTGGAATAAAAGCGACCATTCAAGGCACCCAAAATGGCGCCATTGGTGCGCAATGGAGTCTGAAAAAACGAAGAGGAGGGTAGATATTAGTAAAAATTCCCACAAAAAAAAATATTTTTCGAAGTTGGTTTGTATACGGAATTAGTCAGATATTTATAGAGGCCAATTGTTTGGATAGAGACCTCAGGCCTGTTTAGAGGCGAATTAGTTTTGTCTGTATAGAGACCTTAGGTCTTTATAGAAACCAATTCGTTTGTATAGAGACCTCAGGTCTTTATATAGGTCAATTGGTCTGTATAGAGACCTCAGGCCTTTATAGAGGCCAATTCGTCTGTATAGCGACCTCAGGTCTATATCGAGGCCAATTGGTATAGAGACCTGAAGTCTTTATAGGGGCGAATTGATCTGTATAGAGACCTCAAGTCTTTCTAGAGGCCAATTGGTCGGTATAGACACCTCAAGTCTTTATGGCGGACAATTGGTCAGTACATGGACATCAGGTCTTTATAGCACCCAATTGGTCCGTCTGGGGACTTCAGACCTTTTATATGCCTATCGGTCTGTATGGAGTGCTCAGGACTTTATAGCGGCCAAATGGTCTGTATATAGACCAGAGGGGCTTGTAAAGCCCATGTTGGCTGAATTGAGACTATAAGTCCACATTGATAATTTTCTGCGAGGAGATATTTTTGCCTCTGAGAAACCGAAATCCCAAATCGCAGCCACACGTCTGAAGGAAAATCCCACGAGAACCCTAAAAATACCTAAAATTAGTCGAAACCCTTAAATTGGCCTAGGAGATTTTATATCCTTCTGCGATACAAAAATTAACAAATTACTGTCGCTTCGGTTCGAGGAACACTTATATGGGGGCTATGTAAAAATATGGACCTACATAGTTTATTTTCTGTCAAGAGGTTTTGAACCTCTGAGATACCGAAATGTCACATCGCAGCCACATTTCTGTGGGAGAGGTTGGACCCTAATATTGTCACTCAGACAAATGATGGACGTACTCAAAACATTTTTGAAAATATGTTTTTTAATACTCTGCGTTACTATAATTGACAAATTACAGACACTTCGTTTCGAAAAATGCAGCTGAGAACTTCAAAATACCTAAAACGAGGTGGAACACTTATATGGGGCCTACAGCAAAACAGTACCTTTTCTATTAATAGGTTTTTAAAGCTCTAAGACATCGAAATGTCAAATCGCATCCGCATTTCTGTAGGAAAATCCAGCCGGAACGTTCAAAATACTTAAAGAGAGGTTGGACCCTAAAAATTGAACTGGAAGAAAAGATGGAAAATTAGGTTTTTTAACACTTCGCGATACTAAAATGTCCAATTACAGTCTCTTCGGCTCGAAAAACACATCTGGAATCTCTAAAATAGCTAAAATGAGGCGGAACACTTATATGGGGCCAACACCAAAACTTGGACCTACATAGTCCTTTTTCTGTTGAGAGATTTTTAAATCTCTGAGATACCGAAATGTTCAATCACAGCCACACGTCGGTATGAAAATGCCATAAGAACCTTAAAAATACCTAAAAAAGCGAAAAAAGGGGCTATGTCAAAAGATGGACATACACAGAACATTTTCGGACAGATTTTGTATCCCTCTGCGATACAAAAATTGACATATTACCGCCACTTCGGCTCGAAAAATGCAGCTAAAATGAGATGGGACACTTATATGGGCCCTTACCAAAAAATGGACCTATATAGTATTTTCTGTCAAGAGGTTTTTGAAATTCTGAGAAACGATATGTCAAATTCCTGCCACACTTGCTGAACCCCTAAAAATACCTATAGCGTCGGTGAACCTATGCAGAACATTTTCGAAAAGAGGGGTTTGTGAGGTTCGCACCAAGGCAATTACTTGCACGAAATTCTATGCGATCGCGTTCCCCAAAAATGTTCTACAAAAGAAAAAAAGTAATTAAAAAACTACTTTACAATATTCCGTATCTATGGCAATTTAACCTACATTAACCCCTCTATTGTAATCAAAAGATTATTTGAAATTCAAATCATAAAAATCGTAATCAGAAACAAAAAGTTGTCTGCAAAACCAGCTGATCATCAGTCTACCATATGAATTATGAAACTCTTCTCTTTCTCTCTCTTTCATGTTAATGCTGTTGGTTGTCAGGCATTGGGCATGATTTGTGTTGTTGCTGTGGCGCGTAGAGATAACGTCGTATCTTTGCAAATATGATTGTCATATTTAACAAACGACGATTGTGATAAGAAAATCATGATTTGTTACGAATTTTTTTTGTAGTGGCTTTTTCATCATGCAGAGAACATTCCATTATCACTATAACAAAACTAATCTTGCACTATGTTGTCCATGTGTGTGTGTGTGTTAAATAATAATCCATTATGACCCCCCAGTGAGTGTTATACGCTGCTCATTATCTGGCCGCTAAAGTATAATCATACGATAAGTCGAAGGGGAGCTGAATGCAACAATCCAATTTCCAACAACAACAGGTCCATTCCAATACATTTGGATGAATCAGGGATTTCCCTTTGCAAAAAAAAAAAACTTCCCAGCAAAGACTTGACATTTAACGGCAACTCTGATTTGCATTAGAAAGTCTCTCTCTCTCCCAACACTCCTCTCTCTTGCTCTTCTTTCACTTTTTCCTTTTGTAACGAAGGGGGGGTCACTTAGATAAATGCCCTTCGGCCAAATTATGATTGTGCAAAATAAATCAAATTTTACAACACTTTCTTTGCCATCATGACAAATTTTTTTCTCGAACATGTCACAACATGCTGTTTAATTACTTTGCATTGCTGTCATAACACTTTTCTTTCTTTTTCGGCCAACATTCACACACATTCATTCACACAATTGCATAATCACACTGGCGGCTGACAGGTTTAGTCTTCGGCTTTTTTCCATTGACACTTCACTTTAATTTCCTTTTTTGTACTTTTTTCTCACCTTAAGGGCACCAACCAAAACATTACGAATGGTGCACTGCATTTTCTATTGTATTTTTTTCTTATTTAATTCCAATTAAAATCGGCAAAAAAAATATAACTAGTCTCGGTTTTTTTTCTTTCTTTCTTTTCGCGGCGCTACCGTCGTCGTTCGTCCACCTAGAACGTAGTCAATGCTAGTCTGTTGTAGACGGCGTCAACTGACAACCGTCAGATAAATCGCAAAGAGGGAGAGAGATATAAACAGGTGTACATAAGAGCGTAGTAGTTGGAGGAGAGTTGTATTTCTTTGGCGGGAATACCGGTTACTAAATGGGTGTTTTATTGCAGTTTTTAATGTTTTAGAAGATGATTTAATAAAAAATTTAATATTTAGTGGTTGATTTATGATAAAATTAAAAAATAGGTTAACATAATGGTATGTTTACATTACAGGAAGTTATTAGGAGGGAGCAGAGGGTCTTAAACGACATTTACACTAGAATTTTTTAGCGCATTAACCTACACTATGAGGATTTATTTTGGCAAGGAAGTCTTTCTACCTAGTGAGATAACAAAATACCAAATCACAGCTGATTGCAATAACAAATGCGACCATAAGCCTGAAAATATCCCATTTTGGGGAGGGGACTGTTATACGTATATGAATAATTCTTCGTAGGGAGATTTTCTACTCAAGGAGAATTCAAAATATAAAATTACAGACATACTTAACGTACTCAAAAGCTTAAAAAATACAAAATATTGGGGGTACCGTAAATACAAAATATTGAGGGTTACCACCAGCTGATGGTTCACGCAGAAGGGGGAAAGCCACGAATAAGATGGAAAGATCAAGTCGAAGACAACATTGACGAAAATGGTCCTTCAAATTGGAAAAGCTGCGCAAAAGACCGATGCGCCTAGAAATCTTTTTTAAGCTCGGCTTATGGAAAGAAAGTTCCGTCACAAGCCAGCTAAGTAAGTAAGTATCTGACATCTCTTCGACGGGATATATATTTAACTTAAAATATTTTTTTAAATTATTTTAATACATATTATAATATTAATATTTAATAAAATGGCTTTAATTTAACTTTGATATTTTTAATTTTTATCATTTATTTTGATTATTTATTTATTTGTAATTAATTTTCTGCTTTTATTTATTCCATTAAGCTACTCTGTCGCTCATCTCGCTGTCTTCCATTATCTTTTGTCCCTTGTAAACGTGCCATAAATCACTTGCTTTAATTTATCTCAGCAAATTATTTGACATCTCTTCAATGGGATATATGTAAAATGAATTATATATAATTTTATTTAATTATTAATTAATTAAATTATAAACTATTATGCTTTTATCATTAATTTATTTTAATTTTTATTTATAATTCATTCCCTCCTTTTATTTATTCCATTAAACCAATATGTCACCCATCTCTCTGTCTCCTTCTCGTTCCCTTTCTCATTTGTCACTCTCTCCCAATCATATGTGCAAGTAGTGTGGGTACTTATGAACTTAACATCACCGTTACTACCGCCGGCATACAACTGTGTGTGCCTGCGTTAAAAATGACATTTCGCCATATGCAGGGCTAGGGATATATAGTCGAGAGTAATTAATCGATTAGTCGATAGTCGATCTACATATCCCTAATACAGGGCAGCCAATATGTAGCACCACCACCACCAACAAAATAGATAATGCTAAAAAGTAAAAAGTCGTCGGAGATCACGGCAGAAATTTGTTAACGAATGTTGGAAGAAACAAAAAAACTCAACCATAAAACATAAACAAAACAATTCCAGCAACGGGAAATAACGAAAACAAATGGCCCGCGTGTAATAGCAACAATTGTGTGGCTTACAAACAAACCGTTTTCGAATTTCGTAACAATTCTGGCCAAATTGTTGTGTGTGGTGTGGAGAAAACACAGTTTTTGTCGTGTCTGCCCGAGAAGATACGTATAACAAAAAACCCATTAAAAACGCAAGTGAAGGCTACACAAAAAAAAATTGAAACGAAACGCGAAGCAAAAAAAAACTTAAGGCAGTGGTTTGCTTGGAATCGGTGCGGGGGGAAGAGAAGACAACAGGGAACACCAAATGAACAACACCACCACCATTATTGCTACGTTGTTGTAAAAACTCGCTTTAATTTGTTGTTTTAGTTTCTTTTTTTTGTTAAAAATATTGAATTTTATTTCTTGTTCATTGATTTTCGGGCAAAACCAAACGTGCACAAAAAGAAGCCCACAACAGGGCAGATTTTTAAAAACCGACCCCCTTAAAAAGGGGTTCCAGCCACAGAAAAAAAAATATTAATAAAAAAACCCCCAACAACAACAAAAAAGTCAAACGACAGACACACACACACCCAAGGGACCATCATCATGATGAACAATTACAGCAACATGATGATGGGCGAACAGTTTCGCAAAATGGACTCAAACTATTCGCCCAAATCATCACCACATGGTGGCCGATCACCGGTTGTCTCACGCCAGGATTCATCGGGCACCCTCAAGGCCACAATATCGCTGGGCAAGACACCAACGATAATCCAAACGGGACCATTCTATTCGATGAAGGAGCCACCGGGGAAGGGTGAACTGACGGGCGATAAAGATCTCATGACTGAATATGGTTTACATCATACACTAACAAAATTTAAGGATAAAAAAGTCAAAGAGTCCCTGTCGTCGTTTTTGCCGAATCTGCCCGGAATCTATGATGGCATGAATAATTTGGTAAGCCAATACAACATTTTTATTCTCTAAAAATCGTCTTATTAATAATTTATAAATATCTTTTCTTTGCTGACCTTGAAGAAGAAGAAAAAAAAATGAAAATGAATTTCTGGAAAATGATGGGTACATACACCTGTCACATAGAGAGAACAGAGTCAGACACAGTGATAAGAACAAAGGGCATGTGGAAGAGGTAGTAGAAGTGTGGGGACAGGCATTTTATGCAGCACGTGAATTTCGTGAATTTTTGTTCAGGATATTGTGAAATTATTTGCCAATGGAAATGTGGGTTTGCTACCCACTGAGAACCCAGAATATCAAATTACAGCAAAATCGATTAAAAACCTGGCCGAAATCTTAAAATATTGAATATTTTGAGGTAACGTTATATGGGGGCTACCCTAAAAATTGGACCAATATTAAAAATTTTTGGTACTAAGATTTACCACCGCATGAGAACCCATAATATTAAATTACAGTCAAATTGGTTAAAAAACGTGTTTAAAATCTGCAAATTTCGAATATTTTGAGGTAATCCTAAAAAGTGGACCAAAGCTCATAATTTTTGATAGTAAGATTTGCTGCCCTATGAGAACCCAGAATAGCAAATTACAAATCGATTAAAAAATCTGGCTGAAATCTTAAAATTTTGAATATTTTGTGGGTCCAATTTTTATAATTTTTGGTAGAAAGATTTACCACCCCATGATAACCCATAATACTAAATTACAGTCAAATCGGCCGAAAAAACATACCCGAAACCCCTACAAACGAACATTTGGGAGCAACGTTTTAAGCGGGCTACCCTAAAAAGTCGACTAATATTTTTCATTTTTGGTAGGATGGTTTGATACGGTATGAGAACCCAAAATATTAATTTACAGCCAAATCGGTTGAAAAAACATAACCGAAACCCCTACAAACGAACATTTGGGAGCAACGTTATGTGGGGGCTACCCTAAAAATTGGACCAATATTGATAATTTTTGGTACTAAGATTTACCATCGCATGAGAACCCATAATACTAAATTACAGCCAAATCGGTTAATAAACGAATCCGAAATCTCCAAATTCGGAATATTTGAGGGTCATATTATATGGGGGCTACCGTAAAAAGTGGACCAATTTTTATATATTTTTTTTTTTTTTGTAGGACGGTTTGCCTCTCTATGAGAACCCATAATACAAAATTACAGCCAATTCGATTGAATAACTTGCTCAAAATTCGGAATATTTGGGGGCAATGTTATATGGGGGCTATCTTAAAAGAGTCGACTAATATTTTTCATTTTTTGTAGGATGGTTTGCTAATCTATGAGAAATCAAAATATCAAATTACAGTGAAATCGGTTAAAACAACCTCCCGAAATCGCTTAATTCGGGAAATTTTTGGGCAACGTTGTGTGGGGAGTACCCTAAAAAGTAGACCAATTTCCATAATTTTTGCTAGGAACGTTTGCTACCCATTGAGCATCCAGAATATCAAATTTAAGCCAATTCGGTTAAAAAACGTATTCAAAATCTGCAGATTTCGTATATTTTGAGGTAACGTTATATGGGGGCTACCCTATAAAGTGGACCAATATTTATAATATTTTGTTGCAAGACAAGACAAGACAGAATACTAAATTACATCCAATTCGGTGGAATAACATGCCCAAAATCTTCAAATTTGGAATATTTAAGGACAATGTTATATGGGAGCTATACCGAAACATGGACCAATATTTATAATTTTTTGTAGAAAGACTTGCTACTCAATGAGAATCAAGAATATAAAATTACAGCCAAATCGGTTAAAAACATAGCCGAAATCTCAAAAATCGGAATATTTGAGGGCAACGTTGTATGGGGAGTACCCAAAAAAGTGGACCAATTTTCATAATTTTTTGTAGGAAGGTTTGCTGCCCATTGAGCATCCAGATGATCAAATTACAGCCAAATAGATTAAAAAATGTGGCCGAAATCTCCAAATTCGGAAAATTTTTAGGTAACGTTGTGCGGGGGGTACCCTAAAAAGTGGACAAATGTGGATAATTTTTGGTACGAAGTTTCTACACCCAATGAGAACCCAGAATATCAAATGACGGGAAATTTGGTTAAAAAACGAGACGAAAATCCGAAAGGTTGGAGGACTATAAAGTGGACCTATGTTGATAGTTATTCTCAAACTTCACTTTTGTTGAATAGTTTTTGTTGTTGTTTGCCTAATGCCCTCATTGTTTTTGTAATAATGGATTTTTTCCCAAGCTATATTCTTTCAGCTGCCCTTTTTTAAAAAAAGCAGAGGTATGACCTTTGAAAAAATGGCTGTCCGAAAGTCACGGAGATGTTTTTCTTTTTATGGCTAACATTGTATAAATAATGAAATTGAATTTTAATCCAAAACTTTTGCTAAAATGTCTCTTGAGATTTTTTTCTGTATTTTTTTTTTGATGTCATTGTTAAATTATTTGTGAACCCAATAAAAAATAGAGCTTGAGAATGGAGAGTTCTCATCAATTTCAAAACCAATTCAAAATTGTCGTTGTTTTTCTTTTTTATTTTAAACTAAATATGATGATTTCTTGCCAGTAGGTATTCCTAAGAGAAATAGTTTTGTATAGATGAGGTAGCCAGGCTTGGCCATTTTTCTTCCTAATTTGAAATTAGGGCAATATAAGAAATCCAACCCTTTATCCCAAAATATTTATATAAATACCATATTTAATATTGGTGTTCCTATTTCTCTTGGTTACCACGCACAAACACGTGCTGCTCCAATTGCTTAATAAAAAAAAACCAACCATTTTGAGGTCAAGGTCGATCAACCTGTTTTTGGGTGTGTGTTTTAGAAGGTATCTAATACAAATACATTATTTTATTATTGTCGTTGTTGTTGTGTTTTAATTTAATTTGTTCTAAAACAATATTGGGGAATGCACAGAACAGCCAACATCTTTATAAACCTGTTTTGAATTTCCAATTTTTTTTTATTCCTCAAAAATCGAAAAATTTAATGTACCGTTGTATGTGGGCTACCCCTAAATGTGGACCAATATTTATAATTTTTGGTAGGAAGATTTGACACCCCATGAGAACCCAAAATATCAAATTACAGACAATTCGGTTGGAAAATGTGTTCAAAATCCTCAAAATTCGAAAAAATGAGAGTACCTTTGTGTGGGAGGTACACCTAAATGTGGACCGATATTTATAATTTTTGATACAAAGATTTGACACTCCATGAGGACCCAAAATATCGAATTACAGGCTATTCGCTTGAAAAACGTGACAAAAAATTCTGAAACTTCGCAAAAATTAGGGTACTTTTGTGTGGGAGCTACACCTAAATGTGGACCGATATTGATAATTTTTGGTACGAAGATTTGACACCCCATGAGAACCCAAAATATCAAATTACAGACAATTCGGTTATAAAACGTGTTCAAAATCCTCAAATTTCGAAAAAATTAAGGTATTTTTAGGTGGGAGCTACACTTAAATATGGATCGATATTGATAATTTTTAGTACGAAGATTTGACACCCTATGAGAACCCAAAATATCAAATTACAGGCTATTCGGTTGGAAAACATGTTCAAAATTCAAAAAAACTGGGAATCTTTGTGTGGGAGGTACACCTAAATGTGGACCGATATTTATAATTTTTGATACAAAGATTTTACACTCCATGAGAACCCAAAATATCGAATTACAGACAATTCGGTGGAAAAATTTTAATAATTTTTCTGAAAATCATCTAAAGACCCCATCAAATACCACCTGCACAGAGAATTAAATTTTCTACCATGGCTATTTACTAAAAATAGATAAAAATGTTGTAATGCGTAGAATTTATGTCACGTTTACAAGATAATAGTTTTTTTGTTTAGACCAGTGTAAACATTTAGAAATTCTACCAGAAAATAAAAAAAATTTTTTTTTGTTTTGTTGTAAAGAAAAAAAGCAAAACAAAAAATTTTTTCCTCTCATGATTTTACTTTCACTTTCATGCTCTCTAGGTTTCTGCTTGCACGTGTCTCTTATTTTGTTGTTGTAATGCCGCAATACATTTCGCTGTGTTATTTTTGTTGACGTGTGTTATTTTTTCTTTTGGGACTATTTGCTGAGGAACTATTTTTTAATATACAATTTTAGTTCTTCTGATAAATAGGGGTGTGTCAGGAAAAGTGGTCTATAAATTCCAAAAAGGGAATTCCCATTTTCCAAAGAATCCAAAAGAAGATACTCCCTTTTATTTCGTCCTTGGATTTATTAATTGAGCTTTGAAACATTTTATCTCAATCGATTTTTTATTGGGTGCATTTTTGGGTACTTTCCATCTCGTATAGAAATCTTGAATAAAACTTGCTTATATTGGGTTAGTGTCAATGACGGAAATGTTCTACACAAAATTTCACTAGGGGTCACCGAACAAATCTAATCTGTAGATATAATATTTGGTATCATAAATTTAATTATAAATTCGATATTTACGAAATTCCTTATTTTTTGGGTAAAAATTACGGCTCATTCTCATTTAGGGCTAAAATCTCCCACAATACTTCATTTTAGCGGGTTGTGATCAAGGAAAAACATGTTCTATATAATATTTCACTATAGTTTAGCGATAATCAAAAATCACCATCAATAATTTATATCGGTATTTTTTTAATTTGTCCTTATTTTTGGGTTATTTCCCGTTTGGCCCCAACTTTTCAAGAAATCTATCTCAAAGGTGTCAATGGCGGAAATGATCCACACAAAATTTCACTAGGGGTCACTGAACAAATGAAATTCTTAGATGCAATATATATGGCCATAAAATTAATTTGAAATTAGATAATTTATTTTTTAATTAAAATGTCCATTAGTTTTCCATTTTGGGCCTGAAAACTCCCATAATCCTTTATTTTAGTGTATCACCAGGAAAGGGAAAAATATTCTACAACAAATTTCATTATAGGTCAGCGACCATACGAAATCGTTTGTCTGTAAATATATAATTTGTGTTCAAAATCCTTAAAATTCGGAAAATTCAGGGTACTTTTGTGTGGGGGCTATATCTAAATATGGCCCGATAATGATAATTTTTGGTATGAAGATTTGGCACCCCATGAGAACCCAAAATACCGAATTAAAAGCAATTCGGTTGGAAAATGTGTTCAAACTTTGTGAAATCCAAAAAAGTAGGGTACTTTTGTGTGGGGTCTACACCTAAATGTAGACCGATATTGATAATTTTTGGTACGAAGATTTGGCACCCCATGAGAACCCAAAATACCGAATTACAGTCACTTCGGTTGGAAAACGTGTTCAAAACCTTCAATATTCGAAATAATGGAGGTAGTTTTGTGTGGGAGCGACACCTAAATGTGGACCGATATTGGTAATTGTAAGTAGGAAGATTTGACACCCCATGTGAATCCAATATATCGAATTACAGGCTATTCGGTAGGAATGCGTATTCAAAATCCTCAAAATTCGAAAAAAATTAGGGAACTTTTGAGTGGGGGCTATATCAAAATGTGGGCCGATATAGATAATTTTTGGATGGATAATTTTACACCCCATGAGAACCCAAAAACTCCAATTACAAACAATTCGGTTGGAAAATGTGCCGAAAGTCCTCAAAAATCGAAAAAATGAGGGTATTTTTGTGTAGGAGCTACACCTAAATGTAGACCGATATTATTAATTTTTGGTACGAAGATTTAACACTCCTTGAGAACCCAAAATATCAAATTACAGGCAATTCGGTTATAAAACGTGTTCAAAATTCGAAAAATTAAAGGTACCGTTGTATGGTGGCACACCTAAATGTGGACCGATATTTATAATTTTTGCAAGTGAGATGTGCCATCTAATGAGAACTCAAAATATGAAATTACAGACAATTCGGTTGGAAAACGTGTTAAATATCCTCAAAATTCGAAAATATGAGGGTACTTTTGTATGGGGGCTACACCTAAACTTGGACCGATATTGATCATTTTTGGTACATAGATTTGACACCCCATGAAAACCTAAAATAGGAAATTACAGACAAATCGTTTGGAAAACGTGTTCAAAATTCGAAATAATGAGGGTACTTTTGTGTGGAGGCTACACCTAAATCTGGACCGATATTGATAATTTTTGGCATTTCATTTTTACACCCCATGAGAACCCAAGATATCAAATTACAGACAATTCGGTTGGAAAATGGGTTCAAAATGCACAAATGAGGGTACTTTTGTGTGAGGTCTACAGCTAAATGTGGACCGATTTTCATAATTTTTGGTAGGAAGATTTGACACCCCATGAGAACCAACATTATCGAATTACAAGCTATTCGGTTGAAAAACGTGCTCAAAATCCTGAAAATTCCTATATGTGGACCGATATTGATAATTTTTGGTAGGAAGATTTGATACCCAATGAGAACCTTAAATACATAATTACAGACAAATCGGTTGGAAAATGTGTTCAAAATCATCAAAAATCGAAAAATTAGGGTACTTTTGTGTGGGAGCTACACCTAAATTTTGACGGATATTGATAATTTTTGGTAGGAAGGTTTAACACCCCACGAGAACCAAAAAAAAATCCGAATTACAGTCAATTCGGTTGAAAAAACGCATCCAAAATTCGAAATATTTGCGATACCGTAATGTGGGCGCTATCCTGAAAAGTGGACCTATATTGATAATTTTAAGTAGGAAGGTTTTCTACTGTATTTTTCATTTTTAGGATCTGAAAAAATTGAATTTCCTTTAAAAAAATCCGAATTTTTATAATAACTGTTTTTAATCAAATCCTTTTTTAATTAGAAAATTTTCCAAAAAATATATTTTTTAGATTTTAATATTTAAAATTATTAACAATTTATGGATTTATTTTTATTTATTTTGATTCATTACAGGAAAACAGTACATTACGCAGTGTCATTGATAAACCCCCCATAGGAGGTAAAGAGCTATTGCCTTTAACCTCAGTACAATTAGCTGGTTTCAGATTACATCCCGGACCGGTAAGTTAAAAATACCAGATTTGATTTTTTTTTCAAAATATTTTAAATTTTCTAAAATTATTTTTTTCTTTTCATTTATCCTTGCAACAGTTACCGGAACAGTATAGAGCCTTCAATACAATACCCGCACGCAAACATAAAAACAAACATAAAAAACACAAACACAAAGATGGTCAACAGCCGCCCGAAACAAATCTAATGGGTGAGTTGGAAATTGAATTGAATTTTGATTTTCAAAATACTCATGGACATTTTTTTTTTCAAATTTTCCAGATTCTTCCGGTTTAGAGACTTATGAGAAAAAACACAAAAAACAAAAACGTCACGAAGACGAGAAAGAGCGAAAAAAGCGCAAAAAGGAAAAGAAACGCAAAAAGAAATCTCACAGTCCGGAGCCACCATCATCGGGCGGTGTATCGCCCATGCTGATTGGCGGTGGTGGTCAGTCCTCACAGTCGGGTATGGGCGGCGGTGGTGGCGGCATGATGATGGGCGGGCCCTCCTCATTGGCACAAATGCAGGGTGGTGCCGTCGGCATGGGTGGTGGTAGCCTTCAGGGCCTGGCGACGGGTCCAAATAATACACTGGGGCCTGGTTCAGGTGTCACAAATATGTCAGGCCCTGGTGGTATGATGATGCCTCAACATGCTTCATTATTTTAGTTTAAATTTATTATTATTTTTTTTTTAATTTTTTTTATTAAACAAATTAAGTCATGTTTTATGATTTGCTTTTAGGTTGAATTTTTTTTTGTTTACAAGGAAAAGAAAAATATGCAGAAGAAGAAGATACAGAAAAGCAAGAAGAAAAACTATTAAAAATTTGTCAAATATAATTTCCATACAAACCAACACACACACAATAACCTCAACACAAGAATAACATATATTTTTTGTTTTAGTTTTTTTTTACATCCCCACCACCTATCCCCCCACATCCCCTCTCTCACAGGTTACTGTGTATGTTGTTAATATGGTATTAAGCTGCTAAGAAGAAAAAAAAAACACAGTCAATTTTGTCATTCCCAAAAAAAAAGAAACGATTTTAGATAAATTCTAAATCCCCTGCCTCCCAACTCACTTCCAAAACCCCAACAGTTTCCTAAATTTTTAACTAAATCACTCTATGAAAAAAAATTAGAAAACATAAAAAAAGATCTTCCATCAGGTGTTGTTTTTTTAGGAGTTACACTGTCCCCCCTCTCCCCTCCCCTTTCCCCTTACATTCTCCCCCTCTTCCTCTTTAAACTTTCTACTTTACACACATTTAACCAACTGCCTAGTAGTTTTTGTTTTCATTTTTTATTATTACGATAATTATTATTTAGTTTTCATAGCCCCCACCACTCCTCCTCCTCCTCCTCCCCCAAAAAAAACCTTTTAAGCCTTTGCCAGCCTTCCTTGGCACAACAAGTTTTAGTTATTTCTTTCGTTTTTTTATTAAATAAAAATTGTAATATTTTTTCTTTTGCTTTCAAAAAAAATTATATAAAAAATTAAAAACAAAAAAACTTTAGCAATTAAGGTTTAATAAAAAAAACACTTTTTTATGAAAATTTATTATAAAAACAAAATAAAAACACAAACAAATATATTATTTAGTTATTTAAGAGTTGTATGCAAAAAAACAAAACAACAACAAAAAACAAGAAAATAATGATAATTAGAAATTTAACAGAAGGAAAAGAAAAAAACAACAACAAAAAAGAAAACAAACAAAAAAATCAAATAATAAATTAAATTTATAAAAAAATGCAAAAAATGCGAGATTTTCATTTTTTGATTTTTGGGAACAGGAAAAAATTTAAAAAAAAATTAAGTAGATTTGGGGGACAAAAACAAAAAAAAAAAAAAAAAAAAATAAAAAAAGCAAGAATTTGAGATTTTTATTTTACAAAATTACGGCGCTTGGGGGTGTACAATAAATAATTTTCAATTTCAGTTTATTTTTCTTGAATGGTAACCTAGCCACAAGGCCAAGATCAGTTCCAAAAACCACTATACATCTACCACTCCAAAATCTTAAACCTAGCAATAGATTTATCTTAACATAAAATCTTAAAAAAACATGAATAAATAATTAATTTAAATTTTAACATTAAATCACAGTAGGGTGTATAAATTTTTCTCTTTAGGAAAAGGGCCGCCAATTTTTTCTATAGTAAATATTAATTTTAAGTATCAATATTTTCTTTAAAAAATTTGAATGCACAGGCCCAAAATTTTTTACGGAAAATTTTAGATTTCTCGGCCCATAATTTCTCGGGCCAATTATTTTGCCCCCCAAAGATGCCGTAACTGTTCTATGGACAGGCTATTTTACATAGGAGTATGTCTTTTTTTGTATTTAAAGCTGTCCTCGAGTTTACTCCGAAGATTTTTTGGCCGCTATATCGCCGTGAACAAGGAGTATCTCTTTTATCCGATAGTCGGCCTGATCTGACGTTTGAACATTCCTTAAGTTTAAAATTCCATTTTGTAATCGTTTTTTCCGGTTTTTTGAGAGCAAAATTATATATTATATAAATGAACAATCCAATTATCTATATAATACATATTTTATAAATATTATTTTATTATTAATTTAGAAAGAAATTAACAACAATATTCTATGCTATAACCACCTTCAAAGTAATAAAAAAACAAACAGCTGCTTTGTCATGCTATCAATGCCTTATGAATGCCCAAGCCGTTGATCTCATTAAGAAGAAGAGGAAGCAATATTGTTTAGTTATAATTAATATTTTGCATTTCCAGTTCGTTTTTTATTTTATTATTACATTTAAGATGACTTTATTCATATTATTTTTTATTAGTATTATTTATTATAAATGCATTATTTATAATTAATTAATTTAATTAATCTTTCACACAGTAACATGATTATCAATAACCAACTAATAGCTGTCTTGTCAGCTATCAATGCCCTATGAATGTTATTCTTATTAAGAAGAAGATGTACCAAAGTTATTAAATTATTATAAATAATTTGCATTTCCAGTAAGGTGACTTTATTCATATTTATATTATTGTTTACCGAGGTATTAATATTAATTATTATAAATTTATATGTTATTAATAATTATTCTTTCATACAATAACATCAGAAAGCTCAAGCAACTAATAGCTGTTTTGTCTGTTATCAATGCCTTATGAATGCACAACCCGTTATCGCATTAAGAAGAAGACGAAGCAATATTATTATGTTATAATTAATAATTTGCGTTTTCAGCACGTTTTTTATAATTACATTTAAGATGACTTTATTCATATTAATATTTTTATTTTAAATGCATTATTTATGACATCATGGTTATCACTAACCACAACCAACCAATGGCTGTCTTGTTATGGTATCAATGCCCTATGAATGCACAGCCCGTTAATCTCATTAAGAAGAAGAGAAAGCAATGTTGTTTTGTTGTAATTAATATTTTGTACTTCCAGTGCTTATTAAATTTAAGTTGACTTAAATTCATATTATTTTTACTGTTATTTATTATAAATTTAGTATTTATTAATAATTAATCTTTCGCACAATAACATGATTATCACAACCAATAAATAGATTTATACACAAGCCGCTGCTGCCAGTAAGAAGAAGAGATAGCAATGTTCTTAAATTATAATTAATAATTTCCATTTCGATAACCTTTAAGATGTTATTATTCAATTTCCTTAATAAATTGTAATTTTGTAATTGTAATATTTATTATTTTTTATTTGTTAATCTATATTATTCATTTAAATAATATTAATAACTAATGTTTAACAGAATGACATGACTCACTAACCACAATGCTATCAATGCGTATTGAGTGCTATCAACGCAAGTTGAATGCACCGGCATTACGTACGTTCAGTGAGAAAAAAATTGTAATGATAATTTTATGCCATTTTTTAATAAGAAATGTTTTTATTTTAATAAGGAATATATTTTATTTCTGATACATTTATGTTATTTCAATTTAAAAAATGTTAGTTTTTAAAAGTTTCTTTAATAATAGATTATAATTGTTAGTAATTACACTTGATTATTATTTTTATATAGTATTATAAATAATTAGATTTATGATTACATATTTAATTTTTAATACATTTATTTTAGTTTAATTTAAAATTTATTAAATGGGAAACAAGTTTTTTTTTTAATAATAATATATAATAAGAAATAATAGATTATAAATTATCGTTAATATTAAATAAATTTGTTTATTAATCTTAAAATAATTATTATAAATTTATTATTTTTTTTAGGTACATAATTGTTTAATATAAGTTATTAATTTTGCGAATTTAATTAATTATATAATTTTACTGCAGTAATTATTACCCTATCATTTATTAATTATATTTTTATTGTTAATTATTTTATTTCACTATATTTTTATTAATTTTATTTCCATTATCTTGTAAATTGATTATTTTTTATTAAAAAATATTGTTTTTCCTACATACACAATTTTAATAAAAAAGGTTAATATTATTTATTTATAAAATACTATTTGTATTTTATAATTATTTTTATATTACATTTCTTTTATAGTAATTTAGTAATCTAATATATTTTTTTTAAGTTTTTTATTATATAGTTGTGCAAATATAATTAAAAAACAGCGTTTTATAAATATATATATAATTAGTAAAAATTGTAATATTAATTTTAAATTTTATTTTATTAGTTTTTATCAATTATATATATATATACATTTAAATTATTGTTATTTAATTTATTTTTAATTGTTTGTTAATTTTTTATTCAAATTTTTAAATAATAATTAAATACCTCATCATCATTATTATCTTCCTCCTAACACAGCTTTAACAGCTGTTTCATTCAATTTACTGGGCTATTAATTTCATGTGGATTGCCCAAAGGGGTTGTTTGCCTCGAGAAGAAGAAGCAGTGTTATTCTCTCTCGGCAAGAGAGTGTTATTCTTTAATCCCCTTCATAACACCAATAGAATTTCTACTACTATTTTCCCCACAAATAGAAAAGAAAAAACGAAATTAAATTCTATTAAACTCTTCCTTTAATTAATTAAGTTTTTAATTAAATAAATAAGCAAATTAACTAATATTAATTTCTAATACAATAACATCATCATGTCATTTAAACAAAGTGCCACAAAACTATTGGAACTGGACGATGACAAGGTGAAGCAATGGCTAGAATCATTCGATGCGGTTATAACAGATTGTGATGGTAATTATGATGAATTAAAAAAAACAAATATTTTTTTGTGGAATAATTATTATATTTCCATATTTATTTATTTGTAGTATTTATTATATTCTTTAGAAAATTGCATAAGGGACATTTTTTGCAAAAAATTTGTTATGTTTTTTTTTGCTTTTTGTGTACATGTGAAATTTTAGAAAACGTATGTGTGTGTGTGTGAATGTTGCGTAGCACGAGTATACAGTTGTAAATTTGTTTTTTTGTTTCATTGTTGCTATAGCTTTGATAATGACCTTTTAACGTCATTTACACTATACGTATATAGGAGGGTATGCTATAGAAGGCATGGTGGAATATATAGGGAATAATATAGAATTTTTTTGAATTAAAAAATATTTAAGAAATTGCAAATATTAAAAATAAATTAAAAAAAAAATTAATTAAATAAATTAAAAATATTTGTTAAATCAAAGAAATTTTTAATTAAAGAAAAAATTATTTTTTTAATAAAAGAAACAAATTTTAGTTTTTTACTTTAAGAAAAGAGTTAAATTTTTTTTAATTGAAGAAAACAATTTTAATTTTTTTTAATTAAAGAAAAAAAATAATTTTTTTTAATTAAAGAAACTAATTTAATTTTTTTAATTAAAAAAACAAACTTAATTTTTTTTGAATTTAATTTTTTAATTAAAGAAAAAAATATTTTTTTATAATTAAACAAAAATTTAATTTTTTCATTTTTAAATTATTTATAGATTTTTTTTTAAAAAAAAAATTGTCCTAAATATAGAAAAAAATATTTTTTTAATTAAAGAAAAAAAAATAATTTATTTAATTTAAAAAAAATTATTTTTTTATTAAAAAATTAAATTTAATTTTTTTAATTCATTTTTATAAAAATATTAGAATTTAAATAAATATTAGAATTACATTTTTTTTAAATCTGCTTAAAGAAAACAATTTAAATTTTTTTAATTAAAGAAAAAAATAATAATTTTTTTAATTAAAGAAAAAAAAATATTTTTTTAAAATTAAACAAAAAATTAATTTTTTCATTTTTAAATTATTTATAGATTTTTTTCAAACAATTTATTTTTAAAAAAATAAATTGTCCTATTGTCATTTTTTTAATTTAAAAATTTTATATTTTTTTAATTAAAGAAAAAATAATTTTATTTAATTAAAGAAAAAAAATTAATTTTTTTAATTAAAAAATTAATTTTTTTTAAATTTATTTTTATAAAAATAAATTGTCCAAAATATTTGAATTTAAATTTTTTAAATCTACTTAAATTTTGTATAACAAAAAATTTTAAAAATTTATTTTTTTCATTTATTTTTTTAATTAAAAAAAATAATTTATTTAAAAGGCTCTCTTAAAAATTCAAAATTTTAATTTTCTCAAAATTCCTCTTAAATTTTTTGTATAGACATTTTCATTAATTAATTTATTTTTTTACTTTTCCAGGTGTCCTCTGGGTCTATGGCGATGTGATACCCGGTTCGGTAGATGTTATGAATCGTTTCAAGGAAATTGGCAAAAAGATTTTCTTTTGCACCAATAACTCCACAAAGACCCGCAAGGAACTCCTAACCAAATCAAAAAATATGGGTTTCAATATTACCGAAGATGAAGTAATCTCCACAGCGAACTCTCTCGCTGCCTATTTGAAAGCCCGCAATTTCAATAAGAAGGCGTATGTTATAGGATCGGAGGGTATTACCAAAGAATTAGATGCTGTCGGCATTGCACATAATAAAGTGGGTCCGGAACATATGCCCGGTTCGTTGCTGCAATATTTATCAAATCATTTTGAATTGGAAGAGGATATTGGTGCCGTTTTGGTGGGGTTCGATGAATATTTTTCATTTCCCAAAATGACAAAGGCCGCTTCATATCTCAGTCGACAGGATTGTCTATTCATTGCCACAAATACTGATGAACGTTTCCCTATGCCAAATATGGTTGTACCCGGAACGGGTAGTTTTGTAAGGGCTATTGAGACATGTGCGGAGCGTAAGGCTACTGTGATTGGGAAACCCAATGTGGCAATGTGCGAACATCTTATCAAAGATGGTACAATTGTTCCGGAAAGGACTCTTATGATTGGTGATAGGTGAGTAGAGGAATTTGAGATTAAAATCGGAAATAAAAAATATCACATTTTTTTAAACCCCTTAGATGCAACACAGACATATTATTGGGTTATAATTGCGGTTTCCAAACCCTGCTGGTGGGCAGTGGTATTCATCAGCTCAACGATGTCGATTCATGGAAAGCCTCCAGTGATCCGGAATTACATAAACTAATACCAGATGTGTATTTACCCAAATTGGGAGATTTATTAGCCTATATGTAAACAAAAAACACAACCATTATCCTGAATTTATTGCATCTTAACCATAGACCCATCTATCTATCGATTTTTTTTGTCTCTAATTTTGTTTTTTTTTTATTGATTATCGTTTAAGTATCACATGACATGCCATATTTGCTGTAATGCCTGTTCGAAGCTTTTATTAATTTGTATTTTTTGTGTGTTTTCGTTACAATGAGATTTGAAAAAAAGAAGTTAAAAAAATAACAACAAAGAAACGAAAATATGTTAATAATAAAAAAATTGTAAAGGACATTTTTACAATGGAGAAAAAAGGTGGAGTTTATTGGATCGAATGAAAACATCGAATTTTAGAGATTCCTTAAAATGGGAGCTATACTAAAAAGTGGATTAATATTGACAATTTTTGGAACGAAGATTGGACACCCAATGAGAACCTCGAATATCAATTTATAGTCAAATCGGTTGAATAACGTTGCCAAAATCTCCAAATTCGGAATATTTGAGCTCAATGTTATATGGGGGCTATACCGAAACATAAACCGATATTCATAATTATTGGTAGGAAGATTGGCTACTCAATGAGAACCCCGAATATTAAATTACAGCCAAATCGGTTGAAAAATTTGATCGAAATTTCCGAAATTCGGAATTTTTGAGAGCAATTTTATATTGGGGCTATACCGAAACATGGGCCAATATTTATAATTTTTGGTAGGGAAATTTTATACTCATTAATAACCCAAAATATAAAATTACAGTCAATTCGGTTGAATAACGTGGCCAAAATCTCCGAAATTCAAAATTTTTGAGGGCAATTTTATATGGGGGCTACCCTTAATCGTGTACCGTTATTGATAATTTTTGGTAGGAAGATTAGCTACTCAATGAGAATCCAAAATATAAAACTACAGACAAATCGATTGGAAAAACGTGGCTGAAATTACAAAATTCTGAATATTTGGAGGAAATGTTATATGGGAGCTACCCTAAAAAATAGAGGAACACTTATAGTTTTTGGTAGGATAAGATTTGCTACACAATCAGAACCACAAATATCAAATTACAGCCATATCGGTTAAAACACATGGACGAAATCTCTAAATTCGGAATATAAGGGGACAATGTTATATGGGCGCTACCCTAAAAAGCAGAAAATCCATCAGCAATACCACTTATAATTTTTGGTGAGATAATATAAAGATCCTAATTTTGTTTGGGAATCGGGATGATTTTTATAATTCTCCAACTGTCGCACACAATGAGAACCCCGAATATCAAATTACAGTTAAATAGGTTGAAAAATTTGTAGCCAAAATCTTTTCAAAATGATCAAAGTCAAACATGATCCGCCCTCTCACATACATTCTCTTCGACAAGAATAACTGCAGGTATTCTTCTTCCTATGGAAGAGCTGGAGGCATTCTTCTTCCCATAGAAAAACTTGAGGTATTATTTTTGTGGAACAGCTGCTGGTATTCTTCTTTTTATGGAAGAACTGTAGGTATTCCACTTCCTATAGGAGACCTGCAGGCAATTTTCTTCCTAATGGAAAGCTGAAGGTCTTCTTTTTCCTATAGAACAGCAGGTATTCTTCTTCCTGTGAAAGAGCTGCATGTATTTTTCTTCCTATAGGAAAACTGGAGATCTCCCTCCTGTAGAAGAGCTGGATGCATTCTTCTTTCTGTGAAAATCTTTTCAAAATGATCAAAGTCAAACATGAGCTGCAGGTATTTTTCTTCCTATATGGAAGCTTGAGGTATTAATTTTGTGGAACTGCAGGTATTCTTCTTCCTATAGGAGAGCTGCAGGTCATTTTCTTCCTACTGGACTACTAATAGTCTTCTTTTTCCTATAAGATAACTGCATGTATTCTAAGAGTTGCAGGTATTCTTCTTCCTGTAGAAGTGCTGCATGTATTCTTCTTCCTACAGGAAAGCTGAATGTCTTCTTTTTAGGAGAACTGCAGGGATTCTTCTTCCTGTGGAGGAGCGCAGGTATTCTTCTTCCAATGGACGAGTTGGAGGCATTCTTCTTCCAATGGAAAAGCTGGAGGTATTCTTCTTCCTATAAGAAAGCTGTAGCTATTCTTCTTCCCACATTCTGCTCATCCTGAGGGGCACCATCTGGAACTTGACTTTTCAAAAATTTTAAAAACTCCTCACTGTTCTCTGGATTCCAGGGACTCTTCATCTCCTCATTCCTGTTTTTTATTATATTTTGTGACAAACCTCCATGCCTCATTCACATTGACATTTTTATTTACTTCCTCAATTTTTTGCTAAGATTGTGTAAATGAAAAAACAGGAAACCAAATCCTATTTGTTTCCTTTTTCAAATGGCATTGTAACGAATGAAGCTTAGGCACTCACGTTACATTGATAGCCCCCCACTATAGTAATGACAGTCTGTTCACAGAAATGATAGCAAATGGCGGCAGTCGGCGGCTGTTACCAGATGAGAATTGGCGGTAAAATTGAAAGCTTGCCTTTGACCATGACACTCTCAGAGAGAGAGCGACAGGGAGAGAGAGAAACACTTTTCGCAGATAATTTTGTTTATCAATGAGGCAAAAAAATAACATGAGCTGTTAAACAACAGGTGTCAAGCAAGGAAGAACAATCTTAAGCATTCACGTTGCATTGATAGTCCACCCCCATAGTAATGACAGTCTTCACAGAAATGATAGCAGATGGTGGCAGTCGCTGTTGCCAGATGAGAATTGGCGGCAAAATTGAAAGCTCATCTTGGATCATGACACTCACAGAGGGAGAGGGAGGGTGAGAAAGAGAGAGCGGGGGACAGATAATTTTGTTTATCAATGAGGCAAAAAATAACATGATCTATAGAGGAGGTGTTCAGCAACAATAGGTGTCAAAGGGAATTAAACAATTAATATTTAACAAAAAAATTAAAGAAAACAATAAATTAAATTATAAATAATTAATTAACTACACAAATTAACAATGCCGATAACAATAAATTTAAATGAAATAAATGATCAAGAACTAACTAAAAATTGGTTGGATTTATATGATACAATATTCACGGATTGTGATTGTAAGTTGAAGATTATTGGAGATGCCACATTATTTGAAAAAAAAAACAACAACAAATTAATGCATCTTTTCTCCCCTTCAGCTGTTCTCTGGCAGGATAACAGTGTAATTGCGGGAGCCCCGGAAACCATTAATGCCTTACAAAATCTCGGCAAGCGGGTGTATTTTGTAACCAACAATAGTACGAAAACCCGTTCGGAATTGTGTGTAAAAGCCCGTGGCATGGGTTTTCAGGTTACAGAAGAACAAATTATTGCACCCAGTTATACCATAGCCGAATATTTGAAATTGAATTTAAATTCCGAACAAAAAGTCTATCTTATTGGCAGCCCCGCCATGGCTAAAGAATTAGATTCTTTGGGTATTGAACATTTTGGTTTGGGTGAAGATATTGTTGAACCCAATTGGGCATCCATTTTACCCGATATAGATGAACAGACGAGAAGGGAAAATATTGGTGCCGTCCTAATCGGATTCGATGAACATTTCAGTTATAATAAAATGATAAAGGCTGCCAATTTTTTGGTACAAAATGACGAGTGTTTGTTTTTGGCTACCAATGTTGATGCGGTTTCGAAATTCCCAAAATATTCTGTGCCCGGAACGGGTGCTATTTTGCGGGGAATTGAGGCATGTGTGGGCCGAGAAGCTGTTGTCATGGGTAAACCAAATCCAGTGGTGTGTGAACAGTTGTTACGAGCGGAAAATATAAAACCGGAGAGATCGTTGATGATTGGGGATTGGTAAGGGGAAGGCATTGTTTTTTTACAAATTTTGAAATTAATTTTATTTGATTTTTTTTTATTTTTTAAATTTTTATTAATTTTTTTTAGTAAATTTTGAAATCATTATTTTAATTTTTCTTAATTTTTTTTGTAAATTTTGAAATTATTATTATACTTTATTATTATTTTTTTTTTAATTTTGAAAAATTTTTTGAAATATTTTTTTTTTTTCTTTTTAATTTTTTTATTACATTTTTTTAAATTTTGAAATTGATATTTTAATTTTTAATTAATTTTTTTTTTTTTTTGTGGCCATTTAAGGGTTGTTTTTTTTAAATAATTTTTTTTTTTTTCTAATTTTTTATTAATTTTTTGTAAGTTTTGCAATTAATATATTAATTTTTTATTACCCTTTTTTGTAAATTTTGAAATTTTTGAAATAATTTAATTAAAATATTTTTGATTTTTTTTAATTTTTTATAATTTTTTTTGTAAATTTTGAAATTATTATTTTAATTTTTTATTAATTTTATTTTTCCATTTTAGTCACAAAGCCGATGTGTTGTTTGGAAAAAATTGTGGCTTTGCCACTATGCTGGTGGGTACTGGGCGCTATAAATGGTCGGATGTTCTAGAATTGCAGAAAAATGATTCGAAGCAATATATACCCGATTTTTATGCTTCGTCGCTGGCGGATTTAAGAACTTACCTTTAATGGATACCAAAAATAGAAAAAAAAAACATTTTTTTTAAATTGTACAGTAGCTGATTTTATTGTTAAATCTTGATATTAACTTAAATTTGTAATTATGTATGTAATAATTATATCCCATAAGCATTTTTTGAAAAAAAAAAATTGTAAAAAAATTAAAAAATCCTTAAATCGGAAGATACCCTTATAAGAGAACTTCGATGAAATATGTAAAAATTTGGACCCACTTTGGCCAGGAGGACCTCAGGAGGCCTCTGAGAACCTTAAATTACAGTCTAAAATCGATTTAGTTGGATATTTTTGAAAAATCATAAAATCTAAAGATACCATTTTAAGGGAACTTCGATTAAATATGAAACAATTTGGACTTAGCTTGGTCGGGAGGTTCTCAGGAGGCCTCTAAGAACCTTAAATTACAGTCTAAAGCGGATTTAGTTGGAAATTTTTGAGGGACAAGGGGTTCTTAGGAGGCCTCTGAGAACCTTAAATTACAGTCTAAAAACGAATTCGGATGAAATACCCTTATAGGGAATTTCGATAAAATATGAAAAATGTGGACATTCTGTGGTCAGGAGGCCTCTGAGAACCTTAAATATCAGTATAAAGTCAATTTAGTTGGAAATTTTTGAAAAAATTTTAAAATCGGAAGATATTTTATAAGGGAACTTCGATGAAATATAGACCGATGTTGAATTTTCATAGGAATTTAATTTGAGGGATTACAAATACACATTTTTTATGCTTTTCAAAACCGAAATCCACCGAAACGCATAATTTCCTGTCTTGGGGATTTTTGGGTATTTTCCCCCATTTTGGGTATTTTCGATATTTTTCAAGAAATATTAAATTTTTTCGTTAAATATTGTAAAAAAATATCATAATGGACATGTGTAAAATTAAAAATGGACATATATCCGAATTTTCCTTTATTGGGGATTTTTTGGGTATTTTTTCTAATTTTGGTTATTTGTGGCATTTTTCAAAAAAATTAAAATTATTTCGTTAAAATGCATTGTAATAATCACAACACACTAAAAAAATAATATTTATTATGATGTTGATCACATTTCCCCGTTTCTAGAAATTTTGGTCATTTATCCAAATTTGGGGATTTTAGGTTTTTTTCTAAAAATTTTATAAGAATTTGATTTGAGTGATTACATATACACATGTGTTATCCTTTTCAAAACCAAAAATAAATCGAAACGTAAAATTTCCTATTTTAGGGATTTTTGGGTATTTTTTAATCATTTTGGGTATTTTTGTTATTTTTCAAATAATTTTCAAATTTTCGTTAAACAATAAACATTTTTAAAACTAAAAATGGGCAAAAATTCGAAGTTTATCTTTTGGGGATTTTTGGGTATTTTTTCTTATTTTGGGTATTTTTGATTTTTTTTTCGTAAAAATGGCTAATATTAATCATAATAAACATTTTCAAAACTTAAAATTATCAAAAATTCGAATTTTCCTTTATTGGGGATTTTTGGGCATTTTCCCCAGATAGGGTATTTTCGATGTTTATAAATTTTTTTTCGTTAAAATGGCTAATAATCATATTAAAAAACATTTTCAAAACTCAAATGGGCAAAAATTCGAAGTTTCTCTTTTGGGGATTTTTTTAGGGTACTTTTCCCCAATTTTGGGTATTTTTGATATTTTTTCAAAAAATTTTAAATTTTTTTGTTAAATATTGTAAATAATGATCATAAAAGACAATTTCAAAACTAAAAATGGGTAAAAATTCGACGTTTCTCTTTTGGGAAATTTTTGGGTATTTCTTCCCATTTTGGGTATTTTTGAGACTTTTCAAAAAAAAAAAAAAAAAATAATAATAATAATAATAATAAATAACAAAAAAATTTTCGTTAAATATGGTAAATAATGATTATAAAAGATAATTTCAAAACAAAAATTATTTCCATTTTTGTTATTTTTGAGATTTCTTCTAAAAAAAATTAATTTTTTCATTAAATAAGGAAATTATTAATCATAGAAGACATTTTCGAAACCTTAAATCGACACAAATCAATAATTTCCACGATTGGGAATTTTTCGGGTGTTTTCCCCATTTTGGGTATTATTGAGATTTTTCAAAAAATTTAATTTTTTCGTTAAATATGGTAAATATTAATAGCAATAGATATTTTAAAAAATAAAAATTGGCTCAAATCAATAATTTCCACGATTGGGGATTTTTTGGGTATTTTTCCCCCAGATTGCCTATTTTTGAGATTTTTCAAAAATTTTTAATTTGTTTGTTAAATGTGGTAAATAATGATCTCAAAAGACAATTTGAAAACAAAAATCGACACAAATCAATAATTTCCTCGTTTGGGATTTTTTGGTTTTGTTATTTTTTATATTTATGAAAAAATTTATTTTTTTTGTTAAAATGTCTAATAATTACCATAAAAAACACTTTCAAAACTAAAATTGGGCAAAAATTCGAAGTTTGGGAATTTTTGGGCATTTTTCCCCAATTTGGGTATTTTTGAGATTTTTAAAAAATTTTAATTTTTTTTCGTTAAATATGGTAAATAATGATCACAAAAGACTATTTTAAAACTAAAAATCGACACAAATCAATAATTTCCTCGATTGGGAATTTTTTCCCCATTTTGGGTATTTTTGATATTTTTTTAACAAAAATTATTTTATTTCATTAATATGGTTAATAATGTTCAAAATTGAAACTAAAAATTGACAAAAATCCGAATTTTCCCTTATTGGGAATTTTTTGGGCATTTTCCCCTTTTTCCACATTTTGGGTATTTTTGAAATTTTTTCAAAAACCTTAAAATTATTTCGTCAATTTGACTAATAATAATCATAATACACATTTTTAAAACTGAAAATGGTCAGAAAAAACATAATTTTCTTTATTGGGGATTTTTGTTTTTGGTATTATCCCCATTTTGGGTATTTTTGGAAAAAAATTATTTTATTTCATTAATATGGTTAATAATGTTAAAAATTGAAACTAAAAATGGAAAAAATCCGAATTTTCATTTATTGGGGATTTTTTGGGATTTTCCTCATTTTGGGTAATTTTGAGATTTTTTAAAAATTTTTAAATTTATTCGTTAAATATGGTACATAATGATCAAAAAAGCCAATTTCAAAACTAAAGGTCGACCCAATTCAATAATTTTATCGATTGGGGATTTTTTGGGTATTTTTCCCCAATTTTGGGTATTTTAATATTTTTTCAGAAAATTTAATATTAATTTTATTTTATTTAATAATAATATAGAATAGCAACTAAAAATCGATAGAAACTCATAATTTCCTTGATTGGGGAATTTTTCCCCATTATGGGGTATTTTTGGTATTTTCCAAAATTTTTAAAAATACTTCATTCAAATGGCTAATAATAATCATAAGAGACTAAAAACTTAATATTAATTATAAATTTAAAAATATTTCCCCATTTTGGGGATATATTTTTGTTTTACATATTTCCCCATTTTTTGGGGATTTTTGAGTACTTTTGCTATTTTTTCAAAAACTTTTAATTTTTTTGGTTAAATATGGTAAATAATGACCAAAAATACAATTTCAAAACAAAAAATCGTCATAAATCAATAATTTCCTCGATTGGGGATTTTTGGGTATTTTTCCCCATTTTGGGTATTTTTAATATTTTTTCAGAAAAAAGAATGTTATTTTAATTTTATTTAATAATAAATAAAATAGACACTAAAAATCGACAGAAATTCACAATTTCCTTGATTGGGGGATTTTTCCCCATTTTTGGGTATTTTTGATATTTTCCAAAAATCTTAAAATTACCTTATTGAAAGTGGCTAATAATAATCATAAGAGACTAAAAATTAATATTAATTATAAATTTAAAAATATTTCCCCATTTTGGGGTATTTTTTGTGTTTTATATATTTCCCCATTTTTTGGGGATTTTTGAGTACTTTTGATATTTTTTCAAAATTTTTTAAATTTTTTCGTTAAATATGGTAAATAATGACCAAAAAAGACAATTTCAAAACAAAAAATCGTCATAAATCAATAATTTCCTCGATTGGGGATTTTTTGGGTATTTTTCCCCATTTTGGGAATTATTAATATTTTTTCAGAAAAAAGAATGTTATTTTAATTTTATTTAAGAATAACAAAAATAGCCACTAAAAATCGACAGAAACTCACAATTTCCTTGATTGGGGGATTTTTCCCCATTTTTGGGTATTTTTTTGGTATTTTCCAAAAATCTTAAAATTACTTCATTAAAATGGCTAATAATAATCATAACAGATTAAAAAATTAATTTTATTTATAAATTTAAAAATATTTCCCCATTTTGGGTATTTTTGTTTGTTTTATTTATTTCCCCATTTTTGGGGATTTTGTTTATTTTTCGAGGGATATTTGTAATGGGCATTTAAAAACAGTCAAGAGATAATCTATTTTCTAAAGCAAAATCTAACTTTTTAATTAAAATAATTTTTACCCTTTAAACACACAAATCGTTTTTCCCCATTTTGGGGGATTTTTATATATAAATTTTTTTGGGGATTTTTTTAATGCTAAACTATTTTTAAAAATTATTTGTAAATTTATTCTCTTTTAGTTATCTCACCTAAAATTAAATTAAAAACTAATTCAATTTATTTCCCCATTTTGGGGATTTTTTCAAAATTCCCCGGGGGAGTTTTTTTTGTAAAAAAATATATATAAAATAAAGAGGATTATTTCGCACTATTTAATTCCATTGGAAATATTCTATCTTTTTTAAAATAAAATTTAAAATTACTTAAAACCCATTTCCCCATTTTGGGGATTTTTTCATAATTCCCCAGGGGAGATTTTTTTATAAAAAAAAATATAAAAATAAGAGAATTTTTGGCCCTAGCATTTTTCACTTGAAAATATTCCATCAACCCTAAAATATAGTCCAAAATCTAATGAAAATCAATTTTCCCCACTTGTGGGGATTTTTTATAATTTCCCAGGGGTAATTCCCCTTTCAATACAAATCTGGAATTTTTTGGCACTATCACCTACTTTTCCAAATATTCTAACTCCTCTAAAATAAAATAAAAAAAATTAATTAAAATCCATTTCCCCCACTTCGAGTGGGGATTTTTTCTCCCTTTACCCGTGGATAAATAAATATCCCCATATTTGGCCGTTTTTTTTTTGGTATAAAATTTTGCAAAAATTTGGCAATTTAGATAGAAGAAATCATAGCAACAGAAGCAGAAATTATTAGCAGAAGCGTAAAGCATTTTGATTTTATCGCAGCGTATTCTCCCTTTCCCCATTTCCCTTCCCCTTTTCATACTTTAAAACAACTCTGTTTTTCCCTTAAAATTCCCTCTTAAATGACTGAATTTCCCACCAAATATTTAATCCTGCTTCTGTGTGTGTGTGCTTGTGTGATTTCTTCCCCGGCCGTGGTGTCTAAATTGCCAAAAGGTAACATCAGGTGGTCGAATTACTGTGCGCCAATATTCGTGAGCTTCGTGACAAGTAGCCATACCAATAGAACACATTGATCAGGAGAAATAGAATGGGGAAAACTATGCGTGAGGCTCGATCAATTTTCGATACGGAATTATATTGTGGTGTACGTTTGCCTTTGCGTCGGGCATCCAATTCCTCACGACGATAGTAGGACATACGGCGGCGACCGGAATATTTTTTATTTGGTGTTACATCTGAAAGGAGGAAAGAGAAAAGGGGAAAAGTGAAAGGGAGAAATTAATTTGAGGGAATTAAAGTGTTGTAGAAGAAAATTAAAGTCTTATACAATAAATTTGTTGTGAAAAACGCTGATATGTTTTATATGGAAAAGTGTTATACAAATTTTAATTAATTAAAAAAAAACTGTTATACTGGATAATTTCTGCAGAAAAACTGTGTTATACAGTGCTGGGAAAATTGTTATGAAGGAAATTTTCGGCCGGGAAAAGTGTTATACAAAAATATTTTGTATGGAAAAGTGTTATACAAATTCTCAAACTGTTATAAAACATTAAAAAACTGTTATACAACATATCAGAAGTGTTATACAACTTCCAAAACGTCTTATACAGAACCTAAAAGTGTTATACAGTATTCAAGAAGTGTCATACAGTGCTGGGAAAATTGTTATGAAGGAAATTTTCGGCCCGGAAAAGTGTTATACAAAAATATTTTATATGGAAAAGTGTTATACAAATTCTCAAACTGTTATACTGCACACCAAAAGTGTTATACAACATTAAAAACAGTCGGAAGTTTTATACAACATTAAAAAAACTGTTATACAACACATCAGAAGTGTTATACAACTTCTAAAACGTCTTATACAGAACCTAAAAGTGTTATACAGTATTCAAGAAGCGTCATACAGAATCTGAAAGTGTTATACAGTAAAATTTTAATGCCGAAAAGTGTTATACAGTTTATATTTAAAGCAAAAAAGTCTTATACAACACATTTTCAAAATAGAAAAGTCTTATACAAACCTTGAAAAGGTACATATTTATGATCAGGAAAGTGTTGTAAAACTCATCAAAAGTGTTATACAACTATTCAAAAGTGTTATACAACACATAAAAAGTGTCATACATATCTTATAAAGTGTTATAAAACACTTATACAGTGTTATGCAACCCTTATAAAGGGTTATACTACACATATAAAGTGTTATACAACACTCCCAAAGTGTTATATAACACATATAAAGTGTTATGCAACACATATGAAGTGTTATACAACAATTATAAACTGTTATACAACACTTATAAAGTGTATAACACTTGTAAAGTGTTATACAACCCGTATAAAGTTATATACAACACTTAAAACGTCTTATACAACACTTATAAAGTGTTATAGTACACTTGTAAAGTGTTATACAACACTTGTAAAGTGTTATACAACACTTGTAATGTGTTATACAACACTTGTAAAGTGTTATACAACACTTCCAAAGTGTTATACAACACTTCCAAAGTGTTATACAACACTTCCAAAGTGTTATACAACACTTTAATATAGAAAACTGTTATACAATACTCAAAATATGTAATAAAACAGTTCCAAAGTGTTATACAACATATTTTAATATATAAAACTGTTATACAACACTCAAAAAGTGTTATACTACACTTCCAAACTGTTATACAAAATGTCAAAAGTGTTATACAATAATTTTTAATAGAGTAAACTGTTATACAACGCTTTAAAACTGTTGTATAACTCAATTTTTAATGTAGAAAACTGTTATACAACATTCAAAAAGTGTTATACAGCACTGCACAAGTGTTATACAACTCCCAAAAAGTGTTAAACACCAACTAAAAAGTGGTATACATATATTTTCAATATTGAAAACTGTTATACAACCTATTAAAAGTGTTACACAATTTTTAATACAGTAAACTGTTATACAACGCTTCAAAAGTGTTATACAACTCAATTTTTAATGTAGAAAACTGTAATACAACATTCAAAAAGTGTTATACAGCGCTGCACAAGTGTTATACAACTCCCAAAAAGTGTTATAAACCACCTCAAAAGTGTTATACAATTTTGTGTTATATATTTTTAATATAGAAAACTGTTATACAACCCATAAAAAGTGTTACACAATTCATCAAAACCATTATACAACTTCCAAAAAGTGTTATACAAACTATTTAATACAGAAACAGTGTTATACACCACCTCAAAACTGTTATACAGCTTATAGAAAACTGTTATACAACACCCAAAAAGTGGTATGCAACCATAAAAAAGTGTTATACAAAACTTAAAAATGTTATACTATTCCGAAAAATTGTTATACACCACATTTTCGCTACATAAAAGTGTTATACAACAATAATAAAGTGTTATACTGCATGGAAAACTGTTATAAAACACGTTTCCCATATCGAAAAGTGTTATACTACTCAATTCAAAAAAAAAAAACTGTTATAAAAAATTATTTTTCTATATGAAGAAAAAAACTCTTCTACACTTACCCTCATTCGCCCGCAAATGGATCTCCTCACCATCTTCATCCGACGAATCGAAATGGGCCCTATGCCTTCCTCTTTTTGGCCTGCAACCCAACCAAATCACCAACTGGCTCCAACAATTTTGCCATGCCGATGGACGGCCACGATATTTCCTTTCCCTTGAACATCGACGTTTTGCCGAACCTCCCTTAGGTATATTAATCGAACACATTGCCAGCGGAATTACTTCATAGATTTTCGTTTCGGTACTACTATTTGTGTCTTCATATTCTGGAGTCATACCCAATTTGTGGGTCTGCCTTACCGCACTCTCCGTTTCCGTGTCGGAATCTAGTTCCTCGATAATAAAATAACATTCACCCGAACCATATTTGGTGAAATAGTGGACAACGGCAAATTGTAGAATGGTGGCGAAAATGAAGGCGAAGGAGAGGAAAACGAAAAAGTCCAGGGCGGTGGGATATGGGACCTTGGGTAGGTCGGTGCGGGCCTCCAACCCCAAAAAGGTCATGGTGAGTACCGTGGTAATTCCTAAAGATACACGATCTGCTGTCGCTTCACGATTCAGCCAAAATGATACCCAAGAAAGGACGACCAGGAGGCAGCAAGGTCCATAGACTTGTATTAGGAAGTTGCCCATGTGCCGCTGCAGATGGAAGTTGACCATCAACATGGAATATTCCGCTGAAAGATAGGAAGGGTGAGGGAGGATTATTATTTTTTTTGTCATTTTTGAGAAATAAAATTTAAAAAAATAATTTTATAGGGTTTAAGGCGTTTAAATTTGAATTTTTCCTAATGAGCGCCTAAAAGTATGCACCACTTTTTGCTTTTTATTTTATTATAAGCCCCACACATTCCTAGGGACCAGATCTTAAAATTATGTTTTTTTTTTAAATAAAATGCCAATTTTTTAAAGTTTGTTTTAAATTTGTTTATAATGAGCGCCTAAAAGTATACACCACTTTTTGTTTTTTATTTTATTATAACCCTTACACCTTCCTAGGGACCAGGTCTTAAAATTATATATTTTTTTAAATAAAATTAAAATTTTTAATCCTCTAAAATTTAATTTTTTTCTTTCTGAGCGCCTAAAAGTATGCACCACTTTTTGTTTTTTAAAAATTATAATCCCCACACATTCCTATGGCATGAAGTCATCTTCGAATCAATTTTCCTAATTAACCAAATTGATTTCCATGCCATAATCACTTTAAAGCTGTCGAATATGAAGCTCTGGCCACCCCGGGTCCCAGTTCCGCTATTTATCCGAATGTCTGACAGACAGACTGCCTGTCAATCTTTCACCTTTATGTCCATGGCCCTCCTTATTATTGATTCAAGCATCCATGCATGGATGCCCTACCATGTCTCTGCATGTAAAGTAGCCAGACGACGACACCTTGTCGACGACGAACCACCATTCAACCGAACTTCGTTGCAGGTCAATTGAATGGTTTGGTCCGGTTGTCTTCATTCTCAGCATTCACATTTTAAAGTGGCCTTAATTGAGATATGGAAATCATAATTGTCGAGGCGGTTGGTGTTAATGATGAGGATGATAATGGCAAATAAAGAAACAGCACGGAGAATCGGGTAGGTCGGGACGGAAGGATGGACGTGTGTGTAAATAATTTCATGCAACATTTTCCTTTCCTCTGTCCTAATTATCATGTAAAAAAATGGTCAGGAGGTTAATGGAAAATAATTGATTGGGCAATTTTTGGACAGGTGTATAACAGTGTATAACAGTTCATGGGTGTGTGTGAAGCACACACACATAGATGTAAAAAATAATGGTCAGAGAATTTAAATGAGGTGTGATGAAGCTATGAGTTTATTTTTTAAGGAAATAATATTAAAAAAATTGATTTTCATAAAGTGTTATACAAAATTTTTTACTGAAAGAAAACTGTTATACAACAAAAAAACGATTAAAAATTTCATACAGAGTTTTTTGTTGTAGATAGAAATTAAAAATTAAAAAAAAAATTGATTTTTATAAAGTGTTATACAAAATTTTTTTGACAAAAAAACTGTTATACAAAAAAAAAATTAATAAAAAAATATTTTTTTCTATTGATACCAATTTCATAAACAATTTGGGGTTTTTTATAAAAAAATCCAATTTTGAAAAAGTGTTATAAAAATTTTTTTGACAAAAGAAAACTGTTATACAAAAAAAAATTTTTGAAAAAAATTAATTTTTTTTAACAGATACCAATTTTATAAAAAATAGGGCTTTTTTGGGTAAAAAATCCAATTAAAAAAACTGTTATACATATTGGCAAAGTGTTATACAATTTGTTTTAACTAACAAAATATCATACAACATTTTTTTCATTAGATGAAAAGGTTAATTATAATTTTTTTCTAACAAAAAATTGCAGTTTTTATGTTTTGGGAAACTGTTATACAAAAAATGTTGGTGTTATACAAAAAAAATTTCAATAAAAAATGCAATTTTTTCTATAGATATCAATTTTATAAAAAATAATGTTTTTTTTTTTATAAAAAAATCAAAATTTGAAAAACTGTTATACATATTACCAAAGTGTTATACCAAATTTTTTAACTAAAAAATGTCATACAACATTTTTTCTCTTGATAAAAAGAGGTAACAAAAATTTTTTATAACAAAAAATTGAATTTTTATATGTTTTTGAAAACTGTTATACAAAAAAATTAGTATTTGCATACTGTTATACACGTAACATATTACAAAAATTATCAAAAAACTCATTTTATGCCAATAAGTTGTTTTATACAAATAAATTTTGCTAATTTGTAGAACTGTTATACTAAGAGAAAACTGTTATACAAAAAAAAAATCGATTAAAAAAGAGTCATACGCAATTTTTTTCTATATTTGAGTGAAGAAGAGTTCCTTATATGTGGAATTTTCTTAATGAGAAAACTGTTGTACAACTTTTTTTCTGTGTAAAAAACTGTTATACGGCATATTTCACAAATTGAAAACTGTTATACAACTTATTTTTCATACAAAAAAAACATTTATGTACTTTTCTGATGTTTAAAGAAAACTGTTATACGGTATATTTTCAAAATTTTAAACTCTTATACAGCTTATTTTCTATATAGGAAACTGTTATACATCATATGTTCAATATATAAAACCGTTATACAGCATGTTTTTCAAATAGAAAACTGTTATACAGCATATTTACCTAGTAGAAAACTGTTATACATCATATTTTCCAAATAAAAAACTGTTATACAGCCTTTTCTACATAGAAAGCTGTAATATAACGTATTTTACTTATAATAAACTGTTATACAACTATATTTCTATATAGAAAACTGTTATACAGCATATATTTTATAACGAAAACTGTTATACAACATAATTTTTAAGTAGAAAACTGCTATACTGTATATTTTATATATAGAAAACTGTCATACTAGATATTTTCTAGATAAAAAAACTGTAATACTCTATATTTTCTATATAGAAAACTGTTATACAAAATCATTTTTACGTAGAAAATTGTTATACTGGATATTTTCTACATATAAAACTATTATACTCAATTTTTCCTACATAGACAACTGTTATACTCGATATTTTCTATATAGAAAACTGTTATACTCGATATTTTCAATATAGAATACTGTTATACAGCGTATTTTCTATATTTAAAACTGTTATACAATATAAGTTATACATAGAAAAATGTTATACAACATAATTTATGCATATACAACTGTTATACAGCCTATTTATTGTATAGAAAACGGTTATACAGCTCAGAAAACTGTTATATAACCTATTATACTTATAATAAACTGTTATTCAACGCCATTTCTATATAGAAAACTGTTATACTGGATATTTTCTATATAGAAAACTGTTATACTGGATACTTTCTATTTAGAAAACGGTTATACTGGTTATTTTCTATATAGAAAACTTTTATACAGTCTATTTTCTACATATAGAACTGTTATACAACATCATTTATGCTAAAAAAGCTGTTATACAGGTTATGTATTATATAGAAAACTGTTATACAGCATATTTTCTCACAAATAAAACAGTTATACAACAAATTTTTCACATAGAAAACTGTTATACAACATAATATATACCTAGAAAACTGTTATACAGCTTATTTTGTTAATAAAATAACTGTTATACAACATATTTCCTACATAGAAAACTGTTATAAGTATATTTTCCATTCCGATAACTGTTATACAACATATTTCCTACATAGAAAACTGTTATAATATACATTTTTTCCATTTCAATAACTGTTATACAAAAAATTGTGTATGCAAAAAACTGTTATACTACCAATTTTCTTTATTATTGTTGAGGTTTTCTGATTTTCTAATTATTTCAATTCTTGTTGTTTCCGAAAAAAAACTTCCATTTTTGTAGTCCTCCATCTCCCAATGGGTTAATGTTTTCGGATGATTGAATTTATTATGACTTGTTAAGACTCCAAAAACAATATTTGACAATGTATTGTTTGTTTATTCATTTTTTTCCGAGCATGAACTTACATGATTGATCCGATTCTAAGCGTATGTGACCACCACCGGCACCGCCACCCACACCAAAACCGCTACCCGTATCCAACTGGATGCCCGTACCACGAACATGTTGATTTTTTGCCCCTGGACCGGCAAAAGTTGTCAGGGTTTTGTTGTTGCGATTGGCAAATTGGCTGAAGTTGTTGTTGTTGCTGTTGTCGTAATTGTGGTGATGGTCATGGCCATGCTGATGCTGCTGCTGTTCATGTTCGCGTTGGTGTTGATGATGGTGTGTGGAGTGATGGACTTGATGCGTCGTTATCGTGGTGGCATCGCCGCTACTCCCCGCATAGTTCCGGGCATTCTCGTGATAGGGCGAAGATGCTTTGTAAACAACATCCGTTAAATTACCCGCCGGACAATCGACCAAATCGAATTGTGACAATTTCATATCCTCGGCAATGGCCACAGCCGGACGTTCTTTGTTCCAGCGGTAGATGACATCGGCGGTGGTGTAGCCAACTGCAGGGGGAGAGGGTTTGGAATGTAAACATAGAGGAGGAATAAATAAAAATTTGCAAGAGATTAGAATACAATAAGAGAGTGTTTAGCTGAGAGGGACATAAAATAACAATGACACAGCTGAGTGCAGAATAAAAAGATTATACAAAAGAAGGGTAAATATAGACGTTAAGGATATTAAGGAGATTTTTTTAACATCCACGCCTAAGGATATACCCCAGAAATGGTTTTTAAAAAATCCACGCCTAAGGATATACCCCAAAATCGTTTTTAAAAAATCCACGCCTAAAGCTAGACCCTAAAAATGGTTTTTAAAAAATCCACGCCTAAGGATATACCCCAAAAATCGTTTTTAAAAAATCCACGCCTTAGGGTATACCCTAAAAATCTTACTTACTTACTTAGCTGGCTTGTGACAGAACTTTTGTTCCATAAGTCCAGCTTAAAAAAGATTTCCAGGCGCGTCGGTCTTTTGCGCAGTTTTTCCAATTTGAAAAACCATATTCGACTTGATCTTCCCCTCGTATTTGTGGCCTTCGCCTTCTGCGTGAACCATCAGCATGGCATCTTCATCCATTCTCACAACATGACCTAGCCAACGTAGTCGCTGCAGCTCAATACGTCTAACAATGTCGATGTCCGAGAATAGCTGGTACAACTCATGGTTCATTCGACGGCGATATGCACCATCAACGCAGATCGGCCCATAGATCTTTCGGAGAATTGTTCTCTCAAACACTCCAAGAGCTACCTCATCTGCTTGCGCAAATACCCATGCTTCAGATCCATGTAACAGTACCGGTAGTGTCAGCGTCTTGTAAAGTGCGAGTTTGGTCTGGCGGGAGGTGGCCTTGCTTTTGAGTTCTTTGCTCCGACCATAGTAGCATCGGTTGGCCATCACAATCCTTCTCCGAATTTCAAAACTGATGTCATTCGTTCTGTTTATGGCGGTACCAAGGTATATAAAATCGTTAACTACCTCGAAGCTGTAGTTCTCAAGCTCCACAGTTAGTCCGAGTCTACTGGACGTCTTGCGCATTGATACCATCAGCTTGGTCTTCTCGCCGTTTACTGCCAGACCCACTTTGGCAGACTCCTTCTCAATTTGTTCAAAGGTGGCTGTTATCGCACGCAATGTTCCGACCCATTATATCGATGTCATCGGAGGAGTAGGCGAGTAACATGTAGTTTTTGGTGTGCAGAGTGCCATTTCTGTTCACCTTTGCCTCTCGTATGACCTTTTCCAGCTGGATGTTAAACAGGTCACACGACAAGCTGTCACTCTTGTCTGAATCCTCGTTCGGTATTAAAGGGCTTCGAGAGGTCCTTTCCGACTTCAAACTGCTGATATTGTGCCAGTTAAAGTTATCCTGCATAACCGTATTAATTTTGCAGGAATGTCGAACGTAGACATGGCTTTATACACCTCTGAACGGATAGGGCTCGAGTCGAATGCGGCTTTAGAGGCAACGAATAGGTGGTATGTGTCGATGTGTTTTTCGTGGGTCTTTTCCAGGATTTGGCGCAGATTGAAAATCTGGTCAATGGTGGATTTGCCAGGTTTGAAGCCACATTGGTATGGTCCAATAAAGTCATTGACCATTGTCTTCAATCGGTTAGCATTTTATATGGATAGCATTTTATATGCGATGGGAAGGAGACTTATTCCTCTATAGTTGGCACATATCGTCTTGTCTCCTTTTTTGGTACACGGGACACAGGATGCTGAGGTTCCAATCATTGGGCATGGATTCCTCTAGCCAAAATGTAATCAGCTGGTACATCCTCCTGACCAGTATCTGACCACCAGTCTTGAATAGTTCGGCTGGTAACCCATCGGCTCTTGTTGCTTTATTGTTCTTGAGCCGATTAATTGCTTTTATGACCTCATCTTGGCTAGGTCGTATACACTCTATATTATCATCTCTTATTGGTTCTGGGGTATCCGCCACTATTTGATACCAGAAGTTTTTCAAAATGCTCCTTCCAGATCCTCAACACGCTGTCTGTATCTGTCACAAGGTTTCCTGCTTCATCTCTACAGGAGGATGTTCCTGAACCAAACCTTCTGGTGGATGGGGAGAGTAGGCGGTACAGCACTATCCATCGGGAGTGTGTTGTAGATAGGTGGAGGACAAGGTGGACGAACAGTGGCAATGGGAGGGTGACGTATGAATTTATTCGTGACGCAACGTTCGTAGTGGACTGGCGAGACTTTCGCTTTGGCTTAAGTACTGGTTTCTTACTGACGGGGCATGGTTCTCTCAATGCGTATCTGCATAAAAGAGGCCTGTCCCAGACGGATTTATGTGGGTGCGGGATGACTGAGGACTGGAGGCATATACTAACGGAATGCTGTTACTATGATGACATTAGAGATTTAGCAAGTATAGGCATATCGAATGGAGGGGCGGGGTGGGATTTCGGCAGGGCTCTTGAAGACGATCGGACCTTTAGTTGTTTAAGTAGTTTTGCTCGTGAAGCGTTTAGGAGAAGGACAGCACTTAGTGGAGGTGATTCTCGTGCATAGCCCCCTTGCAGGTGGGCTCAGTCGGTTGCACCGGGTGGCTTTGTGTATATCGAGATACTTGAATCTGGTGCTGCTAACTACCATGTTTTTTGCTGCCGCGACAACCTCATGCATGTTTCTTCATAGAGGCTGAAATTTCCAATGGTGGGGCCAAAGATATTTTCCCTTCTGATTTTTGCATTAAAATCTTCTAGCAGAATGTTAATGTCATGGCCCGGGCAGCGATCATATGCTGTTTCGAGGCACTCGTAAAATATATCTTTGGTCTGTTCATCTTTGCCTTCGGTCGGAGCATGGGCGCAAATGAGACTGATGTAGATGAACTTCGCTTTTATGCGGATTATAGCAAATCGCTCATCATCTACTGGAGTGAATCTGGAGACGGGGACTTTTATTCTCCTGTCGACCATAAATCCGTAGCCAAATTCTCCGTAGCCTGGCCCTCCTTTCCATTGCATTTCCTGTAAGGAAATAATATCGGCTTTGTACTTCTTGAGTACATCCGCCAAAGCGAAAACTGCGCCTGTTCTGTACAAGGTATGCACATTCCATGTGCAGATTCGCAGATCGTGGTCCTTTATACGTTTACGGGGGGGTTTGTATCTTTTCTTCATTTTCCATATTAAATTCCAAATATTGTTCATTTAATTAATAATTCATAATTTCCAGTCACGTATCGATTTTCTTAGTGATTTTTACTTTTCGATGGCCACTTCTAAGGTTGACCATCCCCCAAGTGGCCCCATCGTTATTCTCTTTATTCAATAATTTTAACTGGCGATGAAATGACTCATCATTTGAGCTGCTAATAGCCAAGAACGTCACGAATACCAAGCTCAACCAACCTTCCACCACCACCATCCTCCATTAGGACCATTCTTCCTTCCTCCCTCCAAACCTCGATGATTTCCCTTTTCGTGACAAAATCGGTATGCCAATGTGCCATTAAGTCCTCATAAATAATAACAGTAGTTGTGTCTCTCTAATCAATGCGATTAGTTATTCGATTGTGTGGGGGTGTGCCTCCGCCTCCTACCCTGTCTCCCTCAAGGCAATTTCAAGAATTGTTTTTACCCCATCTTTAATAATTTTTCTTGTGGCTGGCCCTTGCTTAAAGGCATATCAATGTTAAGATTTTGATGATGTCTTGAGGAATTGTTGTTGTCGGATTTTTGCCGGCCCCTCCTCAAATTCATTGCAACGAAGAGGGGGACCTGGTTTTTGTCCTTTTACTGCCTTCTTTGTTTTTTATTTTCATTCGGAAGATTTGTTAATAAATTCAGTGCTAACCACAGAAGCCGCAAATTGTGTGTGTCCGCATATGTGTGTGTGTTTGTTTGAGTGTCTTTGTCTATTTCCTTTGCTGTTATCCCTTAATGACTTGCAATCTAAACTAAGGACCTTGATTGTGTGTAGACATTGCAAGCCGAACACACCCCAACCCCTAAAAATATACAACACTTTTCAGCATTGCCTAAAAGTAGGCAAAGGTTATTGCATTAAGTTGTTGAATGTGTTCTGTTAACAATTTCTGATGGCATTGCTCATCCGAATCATTGGGCCAATGTTAGATGGAAAGTTTTTCAATTACTTTGGCCCTTACTTAAAGCCTTAAAGTATGCTAAAGATTTTTATTAAATGCCGAACAAATTTAAAAATATATTTTAAGGCCTACCCACCAGGCGTGGATTTTTTAAAAATTATTTTAAGGGTCTCCCACAAGGCGTGGATTTTTTAAATATGATTTTAAGGGTCTACCATTAGGCGTGGATTTTTTAAATATGATTTTAAGGGTCTACCATTAGGCGTGGATTTTTTAAATATGATTTTAAGGGTCTACCATTAGGCGTGGATTTTTTAAATATGATTTTAAGGGTCTACCATTAGGCGTGGATTTTTTAAATATGATTTTAAGGGTCTACCATTAGGCGTGGATTTTTTAAATATGATTTTAAGGGTCTACCATTAGGCGTGGATTTTTTAAATATGATTTTAAGGGTCTACCATTAGGCGTGGATTTTTTAAATATGATTTTTGGGGTCTAGCCTTAGGCGTGGATTTTTTAAATATGATTTTCGGGGTCTAGCCTTAGGCGTGGATTTTTTAAATATGATTTTAAGGGTCTACCATTAGGCGTGGATTTTTTAAATATGATTTTAAGGGTCTACCATTAGGCGTGGATTTTTTAAATATGATTTTAAGGGTCTACCATTAGGCGTGGATTTTTTAAATATGATTTTAAGGGTCTACCATTAGGCGTGGATTTTTTAAATATGATTTTAAGGGTCTACCATTAGGCGTGGATTTATTAAATAGGATTTTTGGGGTCTAGCCTTAGGCGTGGATTTTTTAAATATGATTTTAAGGGTCTACCATTAGGCGTGGATTTATTAAATAGGATTTTTGGGGTCTACCATTAGGCGTGGATTTTTTAAATACTATTTTTGGGGTCTACACTGAGGCGTGGATT